AATTCTGGGAGTTGAAGTCCACAAGTCTTAAAGTTGCCAAGGTTGGACACCCCTGCATTAGACCCTCTCTCCCTCCCTCCCTCTCTCTCTCTCTCTCTCTCTCTCTCTCTCTCTCTCTCTCTCACACACACACACACACACACACACACAAAAGAATGCCTTACTGAAATGTTTTCCAGCCTTGCAACTTTGCAGATTTTAACTCGTGCTGGCTGGGGAATTCTGAAAGTTGAAGTCCACACGTCTTAAAAGTTGCCAAAATTGAGAAATATTCCCTTACAGCCAACAATGCAATTCTCACAAGTTAGGAGGCTGCCAAGATTTGGAGAACCGGGGTGCAAAAACTCACAGAAAAAGGGGGGTGTCCTCCCCTTAATTTATGGGGGTCTCAATTCCTGGGGAAAGGAAAGGGCTTGCCTTGAACCCACACATTCCTCTAGGCCCCCAAAACCTGCTTCCTACAGTTTCTTGGAGTCTCTAAAATGGGGAGCCAAGCAAGGGAGCACCACCCCCTTCTCACTTCACCTCCGCTGCTCCCGATCGCGTTTCAAGTCTCTCCTGTTAGTTTTGCCGCCTGCCTCAGTTTCCCTTTGCTGACCCGGTGAATTTCCTGATCTTGAATGAAACCTCTCGGGCCAAGAACCGACTCTTGTAAGAGCTACAGTGCGCCACTCGAAGCCAGAGCTCATGCCAGAGAAATTATCCCCTCTTTTTCTCTTACAAGATGTAAACACGCCTTGGCTCCTTTTGGAGCAGGTGGGGTTGCGTCAACTCCATATCTCCCACGAAGTGCGTAAAAACAAAAGTATTTTTTTCGCCAGCTCTTGTTTGGAGAAACAGGCCCACCCACACAGTTGGGACCCAGATGGAAAAGATTCTCCTTTTGGAGAGGCTGGCCAAGCGAGAGAGAGGGATATTTTTTTTTAGTGCAACATGGAACCAGCCCCTCTTAGAACACCTTTGGGCTTACAGCAAGCCTCTTTCGGCAGAAGCAGAGATTGGGATACTGATGTTTAGGAATTGGGGCTCTTTGTTCCTCTTTGGAAGTTGGAGCTGCCCCAAACTCAGCCTTTGAAGAGGGGGGACTCTCTATGGAGAGTCATCCAAGTCATGGTTGTCCCAAAGGTGGACTTTCGGGGGGGGGGGGTTTCTTGAAGACGCTTCGCTTTTCCTGCAAGAAACTTTTGGGGAGAAACCATGCACTGATAACTTAATAGCCAGGAATGCTCCTGGGGGGGAAGACGGTCTGCGTTGAGGGTTTGTCACGGGAAAATGGGTTTTGTTCTGCCCCCCCAAACATTGGTATGTTGTTCCCATACAAGCAATTAACAAACGCCACCAGCTCAAAGATGGAGGGTGGGTTTCACAAGGCATCCAATCCTGGGCTCTTGAATATTTGGGGTGAAATGGAGAACCAGGGTGTGTTGATCCAAGGAGAAAGTTCTAGGAAGTTTACGGGGTGGAATCAAGGAGCAACATTTGTTCTACTCCAGCACGTAAAGGGCGGTGAGATGAGAGCCAGTGAGTCCCAGGCCAGGCAAAATCGTTAGGTAAACCTTGAACCCAAAACCTCCCAGTCTGAAGGCTGGGAAGAGAACAGCCCAATTTCCATTGACTTGAAAAGGGAGGAAGACAAAATGTAGAATTTGAACCTTGAAGTGGGCATGGAGAAAGAGCGTAATTGTTCCGTTCTACACGAGGAAGATCTTCTATGCAGATAGTTTCTGTCAAGCCGTTAAGAGAGCCGCATTGTGGGGTGATGGAGCCGGTGAATCAAGATTTATCGCCGTGCTTGGTGTGAATCGGGCACCTCCAGAAATGCTGGGATTACCACTCCCAGAATCCCCAGCCAACTAAGGTAAGGCCAGGTCTGGAAATGCTCCCCTTCTGCTCCCGTGGCTGAGGTCTCTTTTCTCCCTCTCGGCAGGTGATCGCGGTGGTCATGGACATGTTCACGGACGTTGACATCTTCAAGGACCTCCTGGACATTGGCTTCAAGCGGAAAGTGGCCGTCTACATCATCATAGACGAATCTAACCTGAAATATTTTCTCCAGATGTGCGAGCGAGCCCAGATGCACGCCGGCCACCTGAAGGTAAACCAGCCCCGAGCCTAGCAAACGGTCCAGTTGGAAGGTTGTCCGTGAAAGGGAAGAGGGTGCTTAAGAGGAAACCTCTTGTAGCCTGAGCTGATGTCTTCATTGGCCAGTTCAGGGTATAATTACTTTCACGTTTTGCAATAATTGCCACTTCCCCAAATTCCTTTAAGCCTTGGCTTCGGAGAGGGCAGCGCTTGCCAGCCCATCACATCCATGCTGGAGCACCCAAGCGCTTGCGGAAAGAGTCTCCATGGCACCAGTTGGCCGAGATATTGATCTCTTGCAAGCACATTCCTGGGCTTTGCCTGGTCTCTTCCAGTCGGTCTTCCAGCCACTCTGAGAGGAGAAGAGAGCAGAATTTCACAATGATTCCAGCTTCTAAGCTAAGCGAGATCCTAGCCCTCCTTAATGGAAAGGTAGCTTCAAGAGTCTTGATTAACGCCAAGAAATCTTTATTGCCCCCCTCAAGTCAACCCCTGAGTGCTGATGACGTTAGGGACAAGTTTCCAGTTTCCTTGGCCATAGTTTCAGAAGTGACTTTGCCAGGATCTTCTTTCTTGGATAGGGGGAGAACGACTGGCAGAACGCAAGGTCTCTCAGAGAGTTGGAAGGGACCCTGGAGGTCCTCTAGTCCAACCCCCTGCTCAGGCAGGAGAGCCCATTTCAAACAAACGGTTGCCCAGTCTCTTCTTGAGAACCTCCAGGGATAGAGCACCCACAATCCCTGGTGGAAATCCCTTCCACCGGTTCATTGTTTTCACTGTTTTCTAACTTGTGTAGACCGAAACAGGTAGCGAGGCGGCTCAGGTCCATTTCCCAGGCCAAGGACCAATTGTCGGAGGCCTGAATAGCTCCTTATTCCCAATGACCAACAAATCTGCATTTTGCAGGGGCTCACCAACACGACAAGAAGTTATAAAATCTGAGGAAAAAAACAGCACACCTCTTGCATTATATATAGCGACGAAGACAGTCTTTTACACCTCGGTTGGTTGGCTCGGTGGCTAAGATGCTGAGCTTGTCGATCAGACAGGTCGGCAGTTCCGCGGTTCAAATCCCCAGCGCCGCCTAACAGAGTGAGCTCCCATTGCTTGTCCCAGCTTCTGCCAACCTAGCAGATTGAAAGCATGTCAAAGAAATGCAAGTAGAAAAATAGGGACCCCTTTGGTGGGAAGGGAACGGTGTTCCTCCGTGCGCCTTCAGCATTTAGTCCTGCCGGCCACATGACCACGGAGACGTCTTCGGACAGCGCGTGGCTCTTCGGCTTCGTAACAGAGATGAGCACTGGTGCCCCCTAGAGCCGGAAACGACTAGCATGGATGTGCAAGGGGAACCTTCACTGGTTGTTTCAAACCGTTCAGCCCACCATACACACATCCTAAGATTCGTCGTCCCCATTTTGCCAATGAAGCAAATGGGGGCTGTGGAAAAGAAGGATGGATGGAAGGCCATGGGTGAGCTTTGAGCGGAGGTGGATTTCCCACATGCTATGCCAGAAGGCGGCTGGTGATGGAACCGGGTGTGTTGTAGTCTTCGCATCAGAGCATGCTTGGCCGTCTTGAAACACTGCTGAAAGAGATACGGGGCTGAGCAGATGAGCTCACGCCGTGCCCTTTGCTCTCTTGCTGGCCACAGGCACTTCTATTCCACGGGCCAAAGGTGAGCCCCCCCCCGCCCCCTCGGTCTCCTTTTCAAAACACAGAACTGCACTTTACCCATTGGGAGAATGTAAACTGAAAACACCTTTGCCTTGAATTGCCCTGGAGGAAGGCCTCGTCCCGCTTGCATTCCAGCTCACCTGTTTTCTTTGAAAACTCTTGTTTTACGCGGCTCCACCTTTAGCACATAACGCCAACAAAAGGCCTGGCTGTGGAAGGGAGCTTGTATTTATTCATTTCAAAGCTCATAAGCTGCTCCAATCAAAACCAACTGTATTTGCTTCAAAGGTCTGGAGATGTTTGCTCGTGTGGGCTCCAGAGGGACTCCAGGAAGCTGGATTCTCCAGGGCTGTAGAGTAGCGTTTCTTAACCTTAAGAACTTGTAAGGTTTGTGGATTTCAACTCCCAGAATTCCCCAGCCAGCTGTGGGAACTGAAGTCCACACAGTCCCACCTTTGAGGTCCTAAAATCCCACCATTTCCTTTGGGGGAACAGCAGCTCCCTTCCCATCGGCCTTGGGGTCCACATGAGGACACCTGAGCTTCAGCATCATCCTACCTGGCAAGAGTCGGCAGGCAGGTGCGCGGAGTCAGCCACAAGGCACCCTGGGAAATGTCTCCAGCTCGCCGAGCACAGGTTTGCCCAGTGACTCAGCCCTTGGCTGGAGCTTTGATGCTGTTCCTCTTGGCTGATTGTTCCCGTTTTTTTGTGTCCTGCTCCTCCGGCTCAATCAACAAATTGCTGTCACTTAAGACAGCTGCCTCAACCACATTTTCCCCCCTTACTTTGTTGTCAATTCAGGCTGCTTATTTTCCATGGACTGTGTGTGTGCGCTTGCTTTTCTTCCGTGAAAGGGAGGGGAGTAAACATAACGTCATCCATTAACTGCAGAACAAAACAAGGAGTTCAGCCTTAAAATACCGGCTGGGTGAGGAAGGGCCTGAAGAATGAAAAAAATATGCCTGGTTTTGGAACGAGAACAATTAAAGGTTAATTGAGCCCTTGGTCTCCACCTTCTGCCAGGAGATTTTCTCTCCGCTTCCCTTTGACCCAAACTTTTATAGAAGTTCTCAAGGACTGTTAAAGCAGCCCTCTTCCGGATCAGCCATCGGGGTTTGTTGGCTTTTTGCCAACCCATGGCCCTTCTCAAATTCAGGACATCTCAAAGTTGAGCGTAGTCACACCAAAGGCAATAAAGACGGGGAAAATCCAGCCCTGGGCTTTCTGCCGGCTTTCCCAAGAACTCTGCACGTGGCCTTTGGTTAGCCCCTCAAGTCCCCTTCCAGCTTCATTGGCCTGCTCCTTCCGGCCTGCCCTTCGTTTGCCCGCGTCGACTTGTTTCTACAAGGAAACTTTTACGTTTCTGTCTTCAGCTTCCCGCTTATCTTTATTTCTCCCTTTAAAACATTTCTGCAGGTCGTCCTCAGCTTACAGCCATAATACAGGCTGCCCAGTATGGTCGTTTTAAGGTGGAATGGTCCTAAAACGGGTCACCACATAACCGACCCGATTTTTGCAAACTTTTTTTTTTTGCAGTCATTCAGCAAATGTGCCAACTGGTTTGCAATGGGGTGTTTTGGGCAAAAAAATAAATAAAACCCAACCCAGAAGCAAATTTCAGTTTTCAGCAGAAACATCATATAACCCTCAGAGTGCATGAATGTGCGGGATAAGGCTCGTCCGCCAGGGAAATGGGTTTAGCTCAGCGCTTTCTCAACACGGAGGAGGCTCCATTACAGGGAGCGCACAACACATGTTGGCATGTTGCAATTCTGCACTTTTCTGGCTTTCACACACCACAACTTCCTACATCCTGCTTTCACTCCAGCCCCTCCCTTCACCAAAGCCAAGAGAGGTTTGCAAAACAGGCATCGCACAGTCCAAATTATTCGGGCTTTGCAAAGATGCTTCGGTAATCAGCTTGGCTGCCTTTTCTCCCTTGCAGCAAACAGGTATTGTGCTGAATAAGTCAACCTTGGATGGCCGGCTTTGATCGGCCAGGCCACACCTGCTCCCGGCTCTGCCCTCCGCCCATCCGGGTTGGAAACCACAACTCTGGCTCCCAGGGGCCCAGAATGCAAAGAAATGTCCTTTAAATGCCAATTGCCCGATCGCCCGATCTTTCTTCCACTGTTTTCCAGCTCACTTCTGTCCTTTTGTGTCTGCAGCACCTCCGCGTCGGCACGATTGGGGGCACCGAGTTTTTCACCCGCTCCGCCATGACATTCAAGGGGGCCTTGGCTCAGAAGTTCATGTTTGTGGATGGGGACAAAGCCATGTGTGGCTCCTACAGGTAGGTGGAGAACCTGGAAAAGCCCCGGTTTGGGGTCCCACTCGCTTCAGGGGGCTCTGCACGCAGAGGAAGGATGCTGTGGGAGAGCTGGGGGGTGGGGGCGTAAAAGACCTCCTAGGGGAGACCCTTCAGCCCAAGAGAGCCTTCCACTCTCATGGGGGAGATCAGACAGAAAATTGGGGGCATTGCTACACCCAAAGCTTTAATGCTTAGCTCCTTCTCACGACCCACAACCAAAACGAACAAGCAGCAACTATTAAGATTTTGCACACAAAAATGGTCTAGATGTGCACTGAACCCAAGTATTTGGCTATAAAAAACACACCCTTGCGTGGTTTGTCATAGTGCTTCTCAACCTGGGCAGGTTTAAGAGGTGTGGACTTCAGAAGTCCCTGGGCTGGAGAATTCTGGGCATTGAAGTCCACGCCTCTTAATAGCAATAGCACTTAGACTTAGATATCACTTTGTAGTGCTTTGCAGCTCTTTCCAAGCGGTCTATAGAGTCAGCCTCTTGCCCCCAACAATCTGGGTCCTCTCCTTCTGGGAATCGAAGTCCACCTCTGCCCAGGTAGAGAAACCCCACCATCCTGGGAGGTTTGAATAGAGCTACTCCTTAGCCAATTTTCCTTTGAAACGTTTTCTTCAAGGTCAAGAAACTGTCAGTCCCCAACTTCACCCTCTCATCTTCCCTTCCAGCTTCACCTGGTCAGCCGCGAGGACCGATCGGAACGTCATTTCCGTCCTTTCGGGCCAGGTGGTGGAGGCCTTTGACAAGCAGTTCCAGGAGCTGTACCTCATGTCCCGGAGCGTCAGCCTCAAGTCCATCCCCATGGGGGAGGAACCGGAACCTGAGCCAGTCATCCTACCTTCGGTCGTCTCGCTGACCCCGACCAACTCCACGGTGAAGAAACTGGTCAATCCGAAGTACGCGTTGGTCAAGGCCAAAAGCACCGAGCAGGTGGTCAGCGGCAAAGCCAGCAGTGACAAAGTCCTCACTGAACCACAGGCAGAAGTCCAGAGCAAGGTCGTCCCTGAAGACCGTGTGTCTGAGAGGCCCAGCAACCTCATGGAGAAGGTGCCACCCATCCACCCAGGTCTCCTCAACCTGGAGAAGGCCAACATGTTTGACTACCTGCCCACCTGGGTGGAGCCCGACCCAGAACCCGGAAGCGAAGTTCTGGGCTACATCAACATCATTGACCCCAAGGTGAAGAACATCCAGCTTTCTCAAATCAACCGCATCAAGGTGTGTGATGTCTCCAAGGCCAACGCCCAACACAAGCAGCTCCTCAAGCAACAAAAGGTCCTCGAGGCCAAGAACAGAGCCGGTCAAGAAGGGGCCAAGAACAAACCTTCTCAGACTCCCCCACCCCTGGTGGAATCCGCCCCGTCTCCAGCCCGTCCCCAGGAACCTCTCCCCAAACCCTTGGCCACCAGCCCCACGGAAAAGGCTCCCAGGCACCTGGTCAACGGGGAGACAATCGCCACTCTGGCCAACAACAAGCACTTGAAGCAAATGCTGGACCCCCAAGCAGAGAGCGGAAGCGCCGCTGCCCCAGTGCCCAAACCCAGGAGAGCCCATGCGAAGGACCCCGTCCCCAAGAAAACAGGACACGCGGAGGAGAGGATGGTGACGGCCGGAGACCCCGTTGTGCACCAGCCAGGGACCAAGGCCACAAACCCATCCCCCAAAGAAGGGACCCCGCAGGTTGCCAACGCAGGGAACCATCTCAAGGTGAGCATGGAAAGCGCTGGGACTGAGGAAGGAAACGCCCTTTTCCCCGTAAACGGGGTGCAGAGTGGTGAGGGGGAGGCGGAAGAGGAAGAGGAGGAAGACTACGTGACCCTCAGTGACCACGGAAGCCTCTCCAACAGCTCCCCTGCCCATAGCTGCCACCTCTCCAGCGCATCCAACCACTTGGACGGACACGGGGGGGCGGGCCAGAAGTGCCCCCTGAGGAGGACCAACTCCGACTTCCTTCTCAACGGAGAGAGGCCCGGCCTTCACCACTTGCAGCGGAAACTGAGTGAGCCTTACATCAGCCGGGGGACCTTTGTAAGCCCCCTGGGGAGCCCCCCACCAAGGCTTTCTCCGCCTCTGGAGGAAGCTGCTGAAAGGAGGAGGCAGAAAAGTGACAGCCTGGAGGAGACGAGGTGCGTTTGGGGAAGGGGCCATCCCCCGCATGCTTTACCTGCTGGCTACATTACCTGTACGAGCGAGGCTCCACAGGTAGGCATCTCTGTGGTAGCTTTCCACCCTTAGCATGTGGGTTCAGCTTTAGGAAACCACCCAGCAGGGTTCCCTATAGCGGAAAACGTGGGTCTCCTCTAACACAGAACTTGGGCAGGGACGGTCCCAGCCGTCCCCGGAGAGAAGGGCCGCTGGAGAGGCGACTCCTTGTGGGAGCTCCTTTCTCCGAGGGGGGGGGGGGGGGGCGGGGAGGCCAGGATGACCCTGGGGTGCTGCTGCTCAGAGACACTCTTGTATTCAATAGCTGCAAAGACGGAGAGAAGACAAGAGTCTTATCTCATTGAGCATCGTATCTTCTCAGTAGGCCACCAAACATGGCATCCGCCCAGCTGTTCTGTTCTGCCAATGCTGGAGGTCAGGAACGGGCATTAAGATCACAAACAGCTCCACCCTCTCTGAATTGGTCTCTTCTCCTTTCAGAGCCATCCAAGTTGATGGCCTTCACCGCCCCTTGGGCCAGCACTTCCAGAGTTTCCCTGTGAGAGCACCGTAAGGCAGCTCTAAGAAATATCCCTCTGGATCAGAGGCCAACAGCAATAACCAGCAATCGATAACCCAACCCTGGGCCTTGGTCGTGCCTTCCAACCCAACCCAACCCCATCAGCTCATAAAAACGTTCGTTGTGTCCACCAGCATTTCTGTGGGGTATTGAGGGGTGATCCTTTGGGCTGGGAATTACGGGAAGCAAAGCCCAGGCCAGATCCACCAAATAGGAACAAAAATAGAACAGTTGTACAATAAGGGTTGATATTGGGAGCTGTCCACGTAGGATGGGCATCCATTATAGCCATTGGTCACAAATGGGGATCGTTTGAAGTCGCTCTGGGTTGATCTCTCAGCAGTGAAGTTACAAGAAATTACAATCGAAAGCGGTAATTGTTAGTCTCTCTGGCCCTCCCATCCAGAGAACTGCAATTAGCTCTAGCTGCTTAATCTCGTGGCCCCAGAGGCAAAATGTCTTCCAGGCCCACATTTCTCTCCCATCTTTGGATTGCAACACTTTCTCACATTGAGCCACCTCTTCTCCTCCCAGAACTCCTTCTGGTGATATGGGGACCAAACTGGCAGCTCCACAGTTCTGATTTCCTCCCAAAATGATCAAGTCTTTCCCAAGAGCTCAGCTCTTGGGAAGACAGACCTTGGTCTGCACTAAGCCACCTGGGGAAGAGCCATCCAGAGGTCAACCTTGCTTCTCCCAAAGGGCTTCAAACCCAGAATTAGGACCAATGCTAAGTGGAGATGCCGGGCCTTGTCATGTCCAGCTGCCATGTCCAGCTCCATCCAAAGCCTCAGAGTCCAAATATGTGGTAGCTGAAGACCATCAAAGGAAGGAGAAGAGCTTCAGCAGAAGAAGACTGCTCACACCCAAAGGTTGCGATGGGGTGTCTAAAGCCAACCACGTCCTTTTGTGGCTCCCCAGGACGCTTTGTGACCGACAATCTCCAATGGGTGATTTCCCCCACCAGGTTCACACAAGCCATGTTCTGCTTGGTTCGTTCTTGGCTTGGCCTGCTTTCATGAATTTATTAGGTCATTAGTGTTTGTATTCTTGCTGCAATCGTACGCCTCTTGGTGATGGAGACATAATATATATACTCATGTATATAAAGTGCAGGAAGAATAAAAACAATGCCATCAAAATTATATTGAAATGGAGCAATACATCATTACATAAAAGCCAGTGCAGTTATCCAGCTAATTAAATGGAAGGGCTCCACTTTAACCTTAACCTCAGCAACTCAAAGTTAGGTGGAGCTCAGCTCCCAGAATTCCCAGCCAGCAAATTAAAAAAAGAAAGAAAGAAAGCAACACAACAACAGCGACAATTATACAAAAGGCCTTTTGTGCATAGATATAAGGAGCACATTGGGCAAAGCTGCTGGTTATTACTATTAACCAGCGTTGTCAACAAACCACAGTTGACTAACCAGACTTTATCCTAATACCGGACAGTCCTGAATTCTAGCATTAGGAGGAGGAGAAGTGCAGTAACCTTGATGGGAATCAGACAAGCTATGGAGAGAAACACCTCCCCTCTCCACCCACACAGGCCTCCTGAGATGCTTGACAGGTTTCGTGCACAGGTTTCGTGCAATCACTTTGCACCCTTGGGGTGATTTCCGGAGGGTGACTTTCTCAACTGTGTTCAGGAAGTGAGCAAGTGATCCCAGTCCAGGGAGGGCAGAGCAGAAACTGACCCCCAGCAAGGCCAGTCAATTGCCCTGCGCCAGGGCACCGAAGAAGTCCACGGCACCATTCTCCTGTCCCGGGCCAGCTGCATTGGCCAAGCTGAGCACATGGGCCCACCTGGCAGCCACTTTCCTGGGCTAGGCTGGGTGCCCCAGAACCATGGCCTGTTTTATTTTATTTTTTGACATGCGCCTTACCTGGGTAGAGAATTCGGCTAATCATGCCTGGCATAACAATGACAAACATTGGCAGCATTTTCAGGTAGCTGGCAAGGATGGAGGCGGCCTTGGCGTGGTTGAGACTCCGGGCCGAGAGGGACCTCTGGACAATGACCTGGAAAGACACGACACAAGTGTGGATTCTCCCAGAACTGAAAAACCAACCCACGTTGGTTAGGGAATTCTAGGAGGTGAAGTCCATCCGTCTGAAAGCTGGCACGGTTGAGGAACACGGACCCTCTGCCTCTCTTTGCAACTTTCAGACGGATGGACTTACCTCCCAGAGCTGGAGGGAGTTGAAGTCCACTTGGACTTCTTAAAAGTTGCCAACCTTCCGAAACACGAATGTAAATTTAATCTGCGGAGTCAAAACAGTTATTTCCAATACATTTATGGGAGCTGGACTCTGTCTCTCAGCCCTTTGCAAAACTCAGCTGCGGACTGGACACAACTGCACGCAGATGTTTCAAGGGCCCTTTTCCCCTTGTCGATGCTGACACTCAACTGCTCCTGTTTTCTGCTCTCTCCACAGGGCCCCCAACTGTTCTGCTATGGATCCCGGGTGCGAGTGTCAGCAGAACGAGGCAAAAGCCATCCCCAGCAGCAGAAAAGCTCTGAGGAGGGCAAACGGCCACAGGACAGAACTGGGGCCAAGAAAGTTGCCCCAACCTCAGGCAACCCCTTGTTCTGGCAAAGGAAGAACTTCACCTTGGCTAAGAATGCCCAGCCCAGCCCCGTCACCCACCGAGGGGGCACAAGCGCCCCAAGAGCCCCTGGTCAGTCCCTGACCCCACTCCCCGAAAGCCAGAAGTCACCAAAAGAAACAAGGACTCCGCTGGGCATCCCTCTGTCCAAGCTCTCCCAGTCGAAGCACCTGAAGACCAAGGTCTCCCAACTGGAGCCCAAACAGAAGCCAGCTGGGACCTCCCACCCCAAGGACCAGTAAGGCCGGTGGAGGCACCCGCGTGACTAGTGGGGGCTGGGCTGCTTTGCAATTACCTGGTCGGTGCACCAGTACCACGTGGCCAAGACGGTCAGGCCCAGAGTCATGCCTGTCCAGGGCAGGTCTCCGCTGACGGGATCCCGGAAGAGGTGCATAGCGTCCCGCCTGGGCAGGTGGCAAGTGGTGTTGGGGACAATCTTGGATGGGGTGGCAGCTAAGTAGGCCTCCTCCAGGTTGTGGTAGCCCCCGATCCGGTGGAAGGCTGCCCAAAATAAAAATCAGTGGGGCAGGAAGGGAGAGGACCCACGAACAATGGCCAAGCAACCCCCACCACGCCCCCCCTTGTCTGTGTTCCTCCAAAGCCAACCGTTCCCATGTCCCTCCTTTGTCCCCAAAGAATGGGGGGGGGGCGTCCTACCCACTCAGGAGGTGAGAGGAGAAGAAGGGGGCTAACACATTGTGCCCCGAAGCAGAGGTCACGGGCCGCGAGAAGCAGCTAGGTCCTCTTTGTAGGCCATCTTGGGTTCAGTCCCGTTCAAGAGTCAAACTCCAGTTGAGCCTAAGTCTTGGGTCCACCTCTGAAGCACCATCTAACCATGAGGAGCAGCCAAGGGCTCACCGCCTCTTCCACCAACTCCTCAGCTGCCCCAAACCCTTCAATAAGCCAGAAGAATCTGTGGTGCATCTACAGGGCACCATGTTGAGCAAAGTTGCGCTAACAGCAATCTCCACCAGAGACCCCAAAGGAAGCTGCTCGCAATGTCCCCAGAGGCCCATCTGCACCTCCAGCAAGGGGGGAAATCCCACCTTCTGAGATTTGGCCCCCTGCACCCACGCATCTCACAGGTGTCAGGGCCCCACTGATGAAGCCAGAGTGGCATCACAGACACCCCCAAAGCCACCCTGGCATCCCATGCCCCGTAATGACAATGCGGTGTTGGCATTGCCCTCCCTTCCTTTCTATGCATCTCCCCACAGCCCCCCTGGTGCCCCTGGGCACTCGACCCCAACTGGTTAGCTCACTCACCTTCCCCTTGACAGATTTCACTCCCAGGAAGCTAAAGACAGGAGCTGAAAATTCAAATTCCACCCTACGTATGACTTGAATTTTGGGAGGAAAAGGGCCAGGCATCCCAAACAGAACAGAATAACAGAGTTGGAAGGGACCTTGTAGGTCATCTAGTCCAACCCCCCCCCCCCCGCCCAAGCAGGAGACCCTACACCATTTCTGGCCGATCTCTGGCAGTCCAATCTCATCTGGAAAGCCTCCGGTGGTGAAGCTCCCACAACTTCTAAAAGAGAAGATGGGAAGTCCAAGGAAATGACCGTATGGAGGAGGTGGGCAGCGCACCAGCCAGCCAGCCAGCCGGGAGGGTCCTAAGGAGCCCTGGCAGGCTCCGCCTTCGGTTGGCCGTCCGATTCCAGCATAAATGCTGCTAAGAGTTGGGGTGCCTGGGAGGGATGGCCTTCGCGTACCACGTGTCCAAAACCATTGTTTACAAATGTAGAAAGAGAATAAAGGTCTTTAAGCTGCAGAAACACGTCTGGCTCTTTCCACCCAACAGGACTGAATTGGGTGGGTGAAATAACTGGAATATAAGAAAGGACCGTCCCTGCCCTGAAAGACACAGGAAAGCCTTCCGGGGGGGGGAGATGCAGGGGGGTCCTCCTGCTCCCAACGGAACTTCTGCCTTTCCCCGGGATTGTCTCCCCTGACCTCCACCTCCTCTCCTCCAGGTGCCAAGGGCAGAAGGCAAAAGGCAGGCCCCGAGTCCTCACCGAGGGCCGTCAAGATGATCGCACCAACCACCATGATGAGGGTCTGCAGAGCGTCGGTGTAGATGACAGCCGTCAGCCCACCTGCAACAATGCAGGGTGCAAGGGGTTGACACAACGGGCTGGAAACAAGGGAGGAAACCTTTGTGGCTCAGGGTTCAACTGTGGGTTCCTTGGTGCCCTCTGAGTTTTCCTGCAGACGTTTCAGGACCCAACTGGGCAACTGCTCCCTGGACGTACTGACGATGTTGCCTAGTTGGGTCATGAGACATCTGCAGGAAAACTCAGAGGGCATCCAATGAGTCGGTTTCCCCTCAAACAACCCTAGTGTGCTTGGAACCAAAAGCTAAGAGGTAGGAAGTCTCCCTCCGGTCACCTTCTGGTGGCTTCACAGCCAAGTCTTGGCAGGTGGCAGCTCTCAATCCTTACCTAGAGCCTGAGATAAGCAGGTGCAGCCTAATTGCTAGTCGGATGGGGGCTGCACTGCCAAGGCAGCAGGTGAAAAGAAGAAGGAAACGGCAAACAGCTTGCTTTGTTGCAAAAAAAAAAATATTATATATATATATGGGCCGTCAAAGCAACAAAGCCTACAGGAAACCCCCCACTGACAGCCACAACCGGGACCAGAACTCCTAGTTCAACTCGGGGAAGGTGAGAAGGGCCCCATCAGGGTCCTGCAGGAGGCCAACCTGGGCGGAGAGCCTCTCCGTCTCACCTGCGATGGTGTAGACAGCAGTCACCCCCAGCATCAAGAGGGTGGAGAGGTAGAGGTCCCAGCCGAGGCAGACCTGGACGAAGAGCGCTCCGGAGTACAAGTCTGTCTGCAAGAGAAAACCCAGCCCCGGTTCAATTCCCTTTGAGTGCCCTGGGGGGGATCTGGCGGGGAAAAATCCACCTTTGCAAGGCGGTTGGGCATCAGGAGGCGCAAAGGGGAGGGTCACGCCGCACAGACACCCAGTTGTCGCAGCCCTACATTTCGGCAAGAAACCCTCCGAGCCCGGCCCCTAAACGTTGGTTTTGCCAGAAGGAATTCCAGCCGGGCCCCGTGAAGCGACAGAGACAGTCTGGGTGCTTCCTGGCTGTGCACCTGCTCAGCGCTCTTGTCGACAAGCCTCGAGGGGCAAAATACCCCGGGGGAGATCTGGGGGCGCGTCCCTCGTTAGCTGCTTCGCGGGGAGGCACACCCAGCGGCCCAGGTGGGACAGAGAACCCCAGAAAGCTCCTCGGATCAAAACAGGCCATTTCCAAACTCCGGAGAGCTTCAGATTCGAAGATGCCACCATGTTTGAGGCAGGACTTGGCAGCCTGTCATTAGCCTGTGGAACTCACTGCCCTGAGACATGAGAGGATCACCGAGAGCCCAGGTGGCTTTTGGAGGAGGCAACACAAGCACAAGGAAAGGGAGGGGCTGCACTAATGGTTGATGAGCCGGGATGGTTAAGATCTGAGTCAACCGGAATCCAGGGAAGCATCTTGGAGGGAAAGGGAGGAAGAAAACGAATCTATCTTTTATTAAAAAAGAAAAAAATAAACCAGGGTGGTTGGTCATCCGACGGTCCTTCAGAGGTTTAGGCTGGACTTGGCATTTTTGTCCACCTATAGAGTCCTTGCCAAGGACCTGGGAGGGGCAGGTAGGGATGTTTTGAAGGTGCTAAAGGTTTCATCGCAGGATGTAAGCTGTCCCGAGCAAAGCTGCCTTCTGCAATTGACCGACGGGGATGGTGTCAACGCCGATGATGCCCAAGTGGTGCTCCAGAGAGGTTTTGGGACTGCACCCAAGGCACCTATGACCCTCGGGATTATCCTGGCTTTTGATTATGATTAACTGAGAGGCCCCCCGCCTAGAAAGAACCCGTGGACGAGGGGGGTGGGGGGCGGCTCAGAGAGGAAACCACCAGCTTCTTGGCGTGGCGGGTGGTGTCTCCTCTCCATTCCTGCTGGCTCAGCAGAGCCCGGCTGGCCTCTTTTTCCCTGCCAGGCAAAGGCGGAAGGCAGCAGGTGGGCGATGCCCAGAACTTTCACTCTCCCAGCTCGTACAATTTCTCCCTCGGGCAGCTGCCCCACCCGCCAGTCAGATGCCAAGCTCATCCTGCACGCCCAGTGCCAGCTCCACACTGGGCTACGGGGGAAAAAAAAATATTTTCTGGCCCTCCAGGGAGCCTGGCAGAGGGACCAGTGGCTCTTCCCAGCGTTGCTGTGGTCCCATTCGGGGCACTGCCCTACGAAGCCCCCTCTGCCCTCCTCCTGTGCGGCTTGGAACACGCACACCTGCTGCGCAGAGCATTTCCCCCCCGCCCCCCAGAGTCCCAGGGCTGAGGGCAGGACTTTTGGTTGCCCTCCTGCAGCGGAGCGATGCCTCCTTCCGGGTGAAGGCCAGCCCTTGCTTATTTCCCTTGAAGACCAGTTGAATGGCTGACCATCGACATCATCCAACGCTTGGCCATTCGGCCCCTTGATTCTGCAGTTGGGGGGAGGGTGCCTGGTCCCTTCCTGTGCTGAGTCCGGCCCCATCAAGCCCGAGAAGAGCTCCATCGACACCCCTGCCCGCCAAAGTGGCTCCATCCTCCACAGCCGCCTATCCAGGAAATTGCCCGGCGTGGTGAAGCCATCGGTGGCCCCGTGCAAGAGAATTCGGCAGTTCTGCTGGTCAAGGGAAGGAGGACCACCCCTCTGCTGGCCTTGGCCCAGCCCCTTCGACCCGGCCCCTTCCTCAGCCCGCAGAGGCAGCCACGTGAGCGGCCGGTAGCAGCACCCAAGTCAAAGGAATGCTCTGTAATTACTGCAGAGGGGTGGAGATGCCCGCTTGGGAGTTGGCAGCGTTGCACCCCGCTTAAAAACACACACGGGGCATTTCTTGCTTCGAAAGCCTCAAACCCCGAGACCTTCCAGTGTCCTCTTGCAAGCTGAGAGGGAAAACAAGGACTCTGGCAGACTGAGAGGCAGATAAGTCTGAGCGCCCCCCCCCCCCCGTCTCCCTCAAAACCAGGAGGAGAAACGCGCCCCCCCCACCCCCCCAGGGGGGCTTGGCCCATTCATAAAACAGCAGCTGCAACAGCCGGGAAGCCCTTTGATCTCAGCAGCTCCTGGAAGGAAAAGGAGCAGAGCTGGGGGTGGGGCGGAATCTGCAGCTGTTTTGGGGTTATTACGCCCCCCCCCTTTGCAGCCGCTCAAAATTCAGGCATCAAAAAAAGAATTTAACCAATCAAAATCCAGCTCATCTATGGTGGAGGAAGCCATTGGCGAGCCCCAGAGGGCATTGCTGGATCCTTTGGGGTTCAGCCTGAACCCCCAATTATGAGCTGTGCCGTCCCGGGGGTGGGGCGGGGGGGCCACGTGATCCGCTTTTGCGACCTTCTGCCCGGCAAAGTCCAGCCAGATTCGCTGAACGAATTTAACAGCGGCAAGTGATTCACTTAACAGAGCAAGAAAAGGCAAACGTCTCACTCAACAACACAAGTTTGGGGCCCAATTGGGTTCGTGAGACGAGGACTGCCTGCAGGTGCTTCTGGGGAGCCCCGGGGCCACACCGGCTCCTCCAGGGAGCAACTCAATGGGCCACTGGAAAGCGATCAAGCCCCGGGTGGGCAGGACAAGCTCGGTTCTGGGGCGGCTCAAACCAGCCTCCCTTTGGTGACGGAAAAGGCCAAGCAAGGATGTCAATCATGGGGGGGGGGGGGGGGGGGGGAAGCAGCACCCACGTCACCTTTAGGCGTAACAAAGCGGCCCAGGTCACACCCCACAGCTGCCCACACCTGGCGGGATCTACACCGAAGCAAGAACGAAGAGGGAAGTTCAGGTTTTGCTCGGCCCTCCGTTGTCTTTCGGTAGAGAGGAATTCAACAGAAGCGAAGAGAGGCCGGAATCAAACAAGAGTGAATAATGGCCCTTATTTCCTGCCCGGCTCCTATCCCAACCTTCCCTTTGAGCTAATCATCGCTTCTCATCCTTCCTTTGCCAATTAAAATTTAGCAGGAATTATCTGATTGAAGCCAACTCCACGGCCAAGCCTCTCCACATCCAATTAAGGGAACCGGTTGTCGTGCAACGCCAAACCCCTGACAAAGGCATCCTTCCTGGACCTCCCAGCTCAGCAAATATAATAGAATAACAGAGTTGGAAGGGACCTGGGAGGTCATCTAGTCCAACCCGCTCCCCCCCCCCAAGCTGGAGACCCTACACCGTTTCAGTCCAGTCCAGTCTCTCAGCACTGGAAAATCGAGGTTGGAAGCTTATGGCGTAAACCAATCATGGTGGTCAGCACACACTGGGTGTCACATCAAAAAAAAAGGTCTTGGGTGGCAAAATCTCCATCCGTGCGATCCGAAGACAACCGGCGCAGCGCTTGGACCCCAACGGCATTGACCAACTCTCCACTGGTCAACTGCAGGACGGAGCCACCTCCACCCTGTTCCTTTAACCCTGTCAAACCACAAACCAGACCCTCGGGAAGGACTCGGTGGGAGGATCAAAACACCAAATCCGGACTAAACACCTGGGTGACCAATCCTAACTGTTGTTATTGGTTTTTTTTTCTTTTTCTTTTTAAATCACCCTTTTCCGTGGGGAGAGTCTTTCTGGGTGAATCGGAGGGTTTGGCTACACCGGCCCAACCCAAACCTGTTGGGCTTTCAACCTCCCAATGGCCCCTCCTCCCAGTCCAGCCAGAAACCCCACCAGTGTAAAAACAACGGGATGGCCAACAGTGCCCCCCGCTGGACAAAGGCCTGAGTGCAGCCCTGGGAGTCCCTGCAGGGAGGACAAGGTGGGTGTGAGGTCTTCTTCCAAGGGGCTCCCCTCCCCTCCAAGGGTTCAGAGGCCATTTGAAGAAGCCAATTAAGGATCAGACAAATTAATTGATTAAACCAATTAAGGTTGCTTCCTGTGCATTGCCGGAGGGAGGGAGGGAGGGAGGGAGGAAAGAAGAAAGGAAAGAAAAATTAGAGAGAGGATAGGAGGGAGGGAGAGAGGGAGAGAGAGAAAGAAAGAAAGAAAGAAAGAAAGAAAGAAAGAAAGAAAGAAAGAAAGAAAGAAAGAAAGAAAGAAAGAAAGAAAGAAAGAAAGAGGAAGGAAGGAAGGAAGGAAGGAAGGAAGGAAGGAAGGAAGCTCTATAATTTGACATGCTTTAACTCCAGTTGGACCCACAGGCTGCCCACTATCACCATACCGGTCAGGCTCAAAAAAGGGGGCTCAGCCTTTGAGATGCAGAGGAAAGGGGGCCACTCACAGATATCTTGGTGAAGATGGAGAGCAGGAGTGACAAGAAGGACAGGCAGACTCGAATTCGCTCCCCTCCAAAGCGTCTCTGGAGATATTCCGGCATGGTGACGATCTGGGGGAAGAGAGGAAGGGTCAGTCTCCGGCCAGCCTGAAGGAAACCAAAGGGGCCGGTTGGAGGGGACGATGGGAAACCATGAGGAAGAGGAGGATGGAGCTAAAGGATGAAGAGCTTTGGATGGACGGCTAACACCAGATCGACCCCCCACTGGGAAGGTTTGGTTGGTTGCGGAGTTTCCGTGTCCGGTGAATCTGCCCCTCAGGATCTGCAAAGCAGCGGCTGCATCCACCCATCGAGGGTGGCGTCCCTGTCAGACTCTGGCTCAGCAAGCCAAGATTGAGCTCAATGGGGGAAGAGCGAGCCCCAAGGAGACCCTCGCAGGCAGCGCCAGGAGTGAAGGGCGGGGCACTCACCTCCGACGAAAGGTAGACGGGAACAAACAGCCAGGCCAAAGCCAGAAGCACGTAGGTGGCCTAAAAGGGGCCAAGAACCCAGACAGAGACGGTCAGCAGAAGGGGGCCAGCCTCAGCCAGGCCCGCCCTCTTTGCTGGCCATGCAGGTGGCGGGGGGATGACAGGACCCCAACCCACCCACCCGAAGGGGGGCGGCTGCTTGAACCCGGGTCCGGGCAGAGCTGAGCAGAGTTGAGCCCCTTACGTTCCACTCAAAGCCGGCCACGGCGACTCCTCCGGCCGCTCCGCTGCTGGCCAACCCGATGAAGAGTCCGGCTCCTTCGCTGCTGGCAAAGAGCGAGGCGCCAATCTGCAAAGGAAAAACCCGAAGGACGTTGAACTCCGCCGAACGACAACCAGAGCAAAACTCCTGGCTGGTGACGGTAACTGGAATTATTTATTAGATTTCTGTGCTGCCCACTTTGCTAGCCAAAGCGACTCTCGGCGGCCTGCACCAAGTTATTACTATGTGCTCAGGGAGCAAGCTACCCTGAGCATCCGAGCGTCACCAGCTGACCCACTAACCTATTAAAACGATAAAGCAAACAGAAAACTGTGACTTTTGCTTTAATCATTAACCGGATTGGTTTAATTGGTTTCGTAAAATATGGAAATCAGTGGTTTTACTGTGTGCTGCCCGGAGTCATCTTGAGCAGCCGTGTAAAATGATAGATAGATAGATAGATAGATAGATAGATAGATAGATAGATAGATAGATAGATAGATAGATAGATAGATAGATAGACAAGAAGGAAGGAAGGAAGGAAGGAAGGAAGGAAGGAAGGAAGGAAGGAAGGACAGACAGAAAGAGAAAGAAAGAAAGAAAGAAAGAAAGAAAGAAAGAAAGAAAGAAAGAAAGAAAGAAAGAAAGAAAGGAAGGAAGGAAGGAAGGAAGGAAGGAAGGAAGGAAGGAAGGAAGGAAGGAAGGAAAGACAAATAAATAAATAAATAAATAAATTAGTGTTTCTCAACGGTGGCATTTTTAAAATAAGTGGACTTCAACTCCCAGACTTTCCCAGCCAGTTACAATAGACACAGAGGACGTATATAAGCAGCAGCAGATATATGCCCATATTCCTTGCAAGAGACCATAGGAATCCGTTACACCCAGTTGGAGTTACTCACCGGCCACCAGGCAATGTTCCTTCCAGCCAGAAAGTAACCACTCACGCTGTTCCTACTTGCCCGGCATGACGACTGCAAAGGGGAAGAGAGAACTGAGCCAGGAAAGGGGTGAAATTTATTCATTCTGCCTTTCCAGTCTCCCCATCACCTCTTTTCCAGCCCTGCCTCCCTCCTTCCCTCCCTCCCTCTGGGAATATACATCCTACTCTGCAATAAAACCCCACCCCGTGTTTATTTATTACCCTTATTCTTTCTTTAATGGCTCCTATCTTGTTGCTTTTCTTGTTCACTAGATCATTTCAGCCTGGACTGTCTGTTTGAGGTCATGTTTTTCAATGATTTATTACCCAAGACCGTCAACCAGCTCCTTTCTCTCTTCCTCCCTCTCCCCTTTTTTTATTCTTTTTATTTAATAGGCTGCAAATCAGCTCTAATGGGAAAAAAAGAAACCCAACCCAACCCTAGAATAACAACGATGCTGTCCCAGGATCACAAGCGGCGCTTTGAGAGAGAAGGGGCATCTCAGAGCCTCCCACGGAGCAATTCCAGCTCCCATAAACGGATGCCCGCTCCCAGCGAATTCAAAGGGGTCGGCTTAAGAAACGAGGCTGCTGTACCCAGATGCCAACTGCCAGGTTCAAAAGGAAATACGTCACCACCACCACCACGTCTGGAACGCCAAACGGCGGCGAAAGAGCGGGGATTTCTGCGTGGGAATTGTTCTCCATGGATGGACGGCGTATCTCAGCCCGAAGAGAAGAGCAGTTCGCTGTAGCTTCCTCCTGGCTGCTTCCAAGCCGAGGGGAATTGATCATTAAACCAGCAAGTGGCGGAACTCCCACAACTTTCCTCCAGAGATCAGGGGCGGCCCACCTGTCCAGCTAAAACAGCCTCAGATTTGGCCCAGGTCGTTTGGGCGTCCCGTGGCCAGGAGGCCGGAAGACTCGTCCCTTCTGATGACCTGAAGCCAAGGTTGGATCCTGCTTCTATTCCCCCTTCGGGTGGCTATGGAGGTTCTCCATCATCCAGGTCACAGTGGCCCCCAAAGTGCTTTCCCAAAAGGCAACTGGACTTTCTCGGGTTCAATTTTTTTCTTTTTTTTTGGAAAATGTTCCGCTTCTCATTCAAGAAGCTTCCTCACAACCAAAGAAACTTCTTAAACGAGAAGTGAAGTGTTTTCAAGGGGAAAAAAACAACAACCAAGAAAGTCCAGTTTAGGAAAGCACCTTTTGGGATCCATCCTTGGAAGTCTCGGGTAACTTTCCTCCATCTGCTATGGCAAGTGGGGGGGGGCTACACCCACCCACACCCCCACAGAGGCACACGGACAATTTGACCACCTGAAAGGGCGCTTCTCCAACTTTCAGAAGATGCGCTGGGAGAAATCCTGGGCACCCTAAACTGATGCTGGCTTCTGTATCTGGCAAGCTCTCTTCGATAGGGTTGGAACGGCAGCTCCCACTACGGACCTGGGTGGATCCACGCTGGACTTGGCTATGGCTAGGAGGACCTGGACACGAGGACGCCCTTGAGGGACGAAGTCGATCCCTTTCACAGGGAGCAAATCCCTCTCCGTATCGGGTTGAAGCTTAAAAGCCAACCCCTTGGGCAATTTCCAATTTGGTTTCTTGACGATGGGTTTGCTATTTGCCCCCTCCGGCTTCCCAGCCTGTCCAGTGTGCCTTTGACATCACCGGGTGGCCTCCCACCCAAGGATGAATAGTTCTTGACTTGGCCTAGCGGAGACCAGCTAACAATGGCCTGGGGCTGCCCCCTCGTGGCGATGCTTTTAGGAAAAAAGTGAACTCCCATTTAAAACTGTGGAGGTAAGAGGCTTGTGTTAATTCTCAACCTCTACCTTCATACGCTTTTGGGGCAGCCTTAAAAACTCGGTTCTTCAAAAAGGAACATTTATTCACTCAATTTGTAAGGAAAGCTAAGGGCATGGTGCCTCTTGGGGGGTGGGGTGGGGGCTCATTGGATCTATTGATAATTGTAGCGGGTTGAAATCTAGACCTCTTTAAAGTTTCTAAGATTGCGAAACACAGCCTTAAAGATGGCTAGAATCTTTGAAGAACATTGCTGTAAAATTTCAAAAAAAAAAAAACCCCTACATGTCCAGGGAAGAAAAACTGGCCTCTTCATGGGTTGCATGAGATCATGGGTTGATCATGGGTTGATCATGGGATCCATTCTTTCACCTTAAGAGACCAAAGCCCCATTCAGCCCAATCTTACCAGCCTCCCCTTTTTCACCCCGTCCACCGCCCACCTCTTACAAACATTGACATGTCGTTAATGTGTCAACCTTTTCGTTTGCGTGTGGCATCCTTCAGTTAAGCGGTTGTGTTAAAGTCTAACCCCGGAGGGCTGGAGGATGCGGAAACGCCGTCATCCGAGACACACAGAAGGGATCATAAATGGCAACTCTGCACCCTTGAGAGGGGGGCAGTCAAGGTGCCAAGCGCCTGCTTTCAACAGGCGTAAAGTAACCGATACGCAGAGTGGATCAGTTCTCGGATGGGAGGCCACCCAGAGACCCAAGGGCTGCAGGCAAGATGGAAAAGTCAAAAGACACACTCCAAAATTCCAGAATGCCTGGCAAGAAAATTCCCCTCTCCCCAGCATCCAAATTCAACAGGGGGGGTCAGCATACACCAGATGTTGAACTATCTCTCACCCCCCACACACATTTTTCTCTCCCCAACAGCAAAGAGAGGACAACGACCGAACAAAGATTTCCTAAAAAGCTCATGCAAAACCAGAGTTGTTTTATTTGTGCCAGAAAATAAATACCAGTGCACGTTCCTTATGGTTTTTTTTTTCCCCTATAAAAGCATGTTTACAAAAAAAAAACAACACACACACATCACGGAACTGCATACAACGGTGTGGTTTTCTTGTTTGGCTGGTCTCGGACACAAACTCGATGCCGTAGCTACCGTTTGTCGAACAACGCGCAAAAGCAAGCTGGGAGGCGCAGGAAGGAAGATTACGGGGTGCCTCGTCTTCCAGGAATGCCGCAGAATGCGTCCTGTGCGAATCTCATGGAAAGATAACGAAAAGACGCATACGAGGGATGGAGACGAACGGAAGCGGCTGCTTTCAATCCCAAGTAGCCGGGACTGACATGGCTGCTTTCATCCCAAGCTCTAAGGCGGCGTTTCCCAAGCTTGGCCTCTCTTAAGATGGGTGGACTTCAATTTCCAGGATTCAACTCCTATGAAAGCAGCCGCTTCCCTTCATTGCCCTCCCACGTGTGCAAGCGCGTTTTGTGCGAAGCGGCTATTTTCACATGACAAAAGAGCAGAGTCTGACATGGCTGCCTTTATCTCAAGCTCTATGGCTGTACTTCCCAAGCCTGGCCACTTTAAGATGGGTGGACTTCAAGTCCCAGAATTCCCTCGCCAGCTTGGATCCTGGGAGTTGAAGTCCACCCCTCTTAAAGCGGCCAAGCTTGAGAAAAAACTGTTCTAGTGGGAGTGCAGGACTCTTCCTATTTGCTGGGACGACATAGTCTTATGAACATGGGTCCGTCCCAGTTCCGGATCCATGCTGGAAATAAAATGCCCTTGAGGTGCAATCCTTCCTGCCGCCAAGATCACCCCAAATCCCTCCTACCCCCCCCCCCCCCCCCCCCATAAAGAGGAAAACCACCAGCAAGGTCAGGTTTCCCCGCCTGGGTTCCTTGCAAGGAAGCTGCAGCAGGAAAACCTCTGCCTGCGAGGGAGTCTTGGCTGCAAAAGAGCGCAGCTAACCGGACCGTCCCTAGAAGTCGAAAAGAGGGTCGCTGGTTTTTAATTCAAAACTTTTTTTTTTATAAAATCCTTTCTCTTTCGCAAGGAAAACAGCTCTGGGGAAGAAAGGGAAGACGCGGGAGGGGGAGGAGGTAAAAGCCACCTAATTAAATAAAAAAAAAAGGGGGGGGAATCTCATCGACATACAAAGATGAAGCTACAAAAAGTTTCACAGCTGGGTTTCTGTCCCGTGTCCAGTTTGGCCCCTAAAAAAAACCCCCAAACCTCCTTCCTCTCCTTTTCCTTCCAGCCCACCCGCAAGCAACCGTCAGTCGTCCAGCCCTATGTTTCTGAAAAGGTACGACATGGATTCCCCGTTGTGGATTCTGCGGATGGCCTCCGAGAGGATCAGGCTGATGTCCACCGTCTTAATCTTGGGGCACTGAAGCTTCTGGATCTCGTGAGGGATGGTGTTGGTCACCACAACCTGAAACAAAGCGGATGCGAACTCGGTAAAATATTTCTAGGGCCTTTTTAGAGTGGGGGGGGGCTCACGCCGGGGAACTGACTGACCTTGCCTGCGAAGTGCTTAGACCCTGTTTCTCAACCTCGGCCACTGGGAATCGGTGTGGACTTCAATTCCCAGAATTCCCCATCCGGCTTGGCCGGCTGGGGAATTCTGGGAAAGGAAGTCCACCCATTTTAAAAGTTGCCAAGGTTTTAAAAAAAACAACAACACTGGCCTGCCTTCCTTCTTGGGCACCCAGGCCCAGACGATGCGGGAGCAGGAGCCGAGACTTGAACCCGGGGGGCGGGAGATTCGAACCCAGGGCCTCCCGTGCCCACGTGCCACGCCACCCTTCCCCGGCTGCATTTCTGCCAGAGGGTCCTCCTCCCGCCTACCTCATCGATCGCCGACTCCTCTATCAACCGGGGGGCGTCGGAGGAGAGGAGGCCGTGGGTGGCCATGACGAAAATCTTATAGGCGCCTCGCTCCTTCAGGGTCTCTGCGGCCGCCAGGAAACTGTCCACGTCATCGATGATGTCATCCTGGCCGGGGAGACCAAGGGGGTCGTTAGAAGGGGCCGGGGGTTCACCTGCCTCCCGCTGGGGGACCTTCCACCCCGTCGTTTGCAGGGGGGGCCCTTGGCTTTTCCGGCCACGTTCCCGCAGGCCCCTCTGCACGGCGCAAGTTCCAGAAGCGGGGAAAGAGAAAGGGGTGTTCTTGAAATCGAGGCGGGAGACTCGCCCCCAAACTCCCGCCTCTTCTTGTACAGGCAGGCTCTGAGCCGCGCAGGCCTCCGGGCCGCGTCCGCCACCTACCACAATGATGGCTATTCGCCCCCCGACGTCTCCAACCACCGTGATGGGCGGCTTCTCTTTCGGAATCAGCACTGGCGAAAAGGAGGAGAGGAAACCGGGGTGGGGATTTCTGCCTCGGCCCCTGCAAAATGCCACCCCCCGCCCCCCGGACAAGGCGGTCTGCAGCCAACCCGGCTCTGATCAAGGAGACCGAGGAGGGGTCACCCTAAGAGGACCCAACTTCTGAATTTCTCATCGCTTTTAGAGCCCGAGAAGGTGGAGGGTTCCTTTCTGAGTTTCTCCCCCTACGTCCCCTCTTATCCGACCGTTCTCTGTTCCGCACCTCTTCCTCCTTCTCCCAAGGCCATCCGCGCTCTCAGTCCATCCCAGTCCCACACCCTCCACCCCTCCTTTGAGCGCAGCCCTCCAAACAAGGCGGATCCACACACACACACACACACCCAGAAATTCCCCCCTTGCCTTCCGCCCATGGATTTGCAGCCATGCAAGCCACGCCGCGCTCCCTGCCCGAGGCTACTTACTGGGGATCTCCAAGCTGGGGTGGATGGCAGCGGCGCTTTTGGCAGTTGGGGGCGAATGGCGCCCGTCCACCAGATCGGACTCAGCATCTTGAGCCTCTCCGTGGATGACGGCGATGCCCAGCCTCAGGCGCTCGGCAAACGACTGCGCCCTGCCGAGGAGGACAATGAGCCCACCGTGCCCTTGGCCTGGGCACAGGTGCCAGGAGAGGACCCTCACCCCCATAACAGGGGTGTCCAGCTGTGGCTGCTTTAAGACCCGTGGACCTCACAACCCTCAGAATTCCCCAGCCAGCCATGCTGGGAATCGAAGTCCGCAGGTCTTAAAGCGGCCAAGATCGGACACCCCTGCCCTTCTGAATTCTGGGGAAAGACTAGATGGGCTTAGGAAGCCGGCGACCCCACCTACCTCTTCGCAGAGGCAGGAGACTTGGCCACAATCACAGCGTTCCTGTAGTCCGGAATCTACACAACGAAAAGCAGAACCACCACACTCAGAGCTGGCCTGTTATGCTGACCGCGGAAGGGGCGTTTCAGGCGGCCCCGGATCCTTTCTTCTACGGGAGCTAGAGAAGCCAAAACCGGGGTGCTGCCTCTCCCCCCCCCCCACAAACTCCCCCAGATTCCAAGCTGCGATGCCCCCCGCGATTCGGGGCCATCTAAGCCCTAGAGATGACCTGCCTTTCCCCGTGGTTTCATTTTTGGCCTCCGTCCTAAAAGGAGCAGGGGGCTTGTCTTTACCCCCACCCACCGCATTTCATCCGCCCACCCCCGAGAGGCCGAGGATTCGGGCTGGCTCACCTCTTCCTGGATGTACTGCAGCAGAAACGGCGATGCTCTCAGGTTGTCCACCGGCACGTTGAAGAAGCCCTGGATTTCCTTTTGGTGCAAATCCATGGTGATCAGGTGAGTCAGCCCTTTGGGGAGGGCAGAAGGAATAACACGTCGGGGTTGGCCTTGCTCCGCCCGGGCTGCCCGTGTTAGCCGGGCGAGGGCGGAAGGCCCTTACCTGCCTTGCACATCATGGAGGCCAGGAGCTTGGAGACGATGGAGCCCCTCTTCCGCATCTTGCACTGCTTGCTGTAGGGGAAGTAGGGCACCACGCCGATGATGCTTTTGGCGCAGGAGGTCTTGCAGGCGTAGACCATGATCAGCAGCTCCATGATGATGGTGTTCACGTCCCTGGAAGGAGAGGACGCCAGTCCAGCCCACGGCCCTTCACCTGGGGGGATCGGCCTGGTTCCCCCCCCCGCCCCGCCCCAAGTTACAACTGGCCCTCCTCGCTGCTCCATAGGTGGAGTTAGAAGACCAACGTGGTAAGCGTGTCGGAGGACAGTCTGAAACACGCAACACACAACTGTCAAATTAAAGCATCGTTTTCGCAAACGGGCCAAGACGGACAAGCAGAACGAATTCGAGGAGGCTCATGTCCAGGCGGCGCTTGCAAAACTCACTTGGAAACCGTCTGGATGATGAAAACGTCTTTGCCCCTCACAGACTCCTGGATCTGCACCCTCGTTTCTACCAAAAAGGAAAAAAACAGAGGTGCTCAGGGCTTACGCACGAGTGTAAAGCAGGGGTCTTCGGCCTTGGCCACTTTAAGCTTGGTGGACTTCAACACCCAGGATTCCCCAGCCAGCAACGCTGGCTTTGGAGTTCTGGGAGTTGAAGTCCGCCAGCCTTAAAGTGGCCAAGGTTGGAGACCCCTGGTGTAAGATAAAGTACATCTCATTGTGATGTAAAATGGGAACCCACAACAACACTCCTCGGCCTCGTGGCTTTTGAAAGCCAGAACAAAGTGGGCCCCGTTGCAAACGAAAAGATTCTCCGGGAAGCGGGCATGCTGTGCTTGTGCCTGCGCAGCAGAGGAGGGCGAGACATTGAATGAACCGGTTGCTCCTCCCGTTCCAGCCTTCAGGGAGTGAGGCCACGGGGGCCCTCTACTCACCTCTGTTTGCCTCCTGGTACACCTGAACCTTGCCCATTTCCACACCCAGGCGCCTGTAGAACGATCCGAGAGAGAAAGCAAGGTCATGAAGAGGATCCATCAGGTATGGACTTCAGCTCCAAGGATTCTCCAGCCAGCAGGTGGACTAGTGAATTCTGGGAGTTGAAGTCCACAAGTCTTAAACTTGCCAAGTTTGAAGGCCCTTGCTCTAAATTCTGTGTGTGCGTGAGGGAGGGAGGGAGAGACTATCAACCATCCCCCACCCCACCCGCCCATATCAAAATCCTACTGCTGAAAACAGCCAGGGGGAAGGACGGGGGCGCAGGGGAGCCTTACTCCGCAATCCTTTTCGAGAGCTCCATGCAGGAGGGGTTGGAGTTGGCTGAGAAGAGGACCAGGCCACCCTTTGTGACATTCATGATGAGCCCAGGTCCAACAGGGGCCACACAAAACATCAAAACTGCCTTTGTCGTCCTGCCTTCGGATAGACTGCCAAAAAATAAAACAAAAAAGGTTTTAAAAAATCCCACCAAGGACTTTTCAGCAACCCTCAATCGAACAAAAGCTACTGAAATCTTGCATCTCAAGAGTTTGTGCAGGAGGCTTTAAAGCAACGGTCTTCCAACTTGGCCAGTTTAAGGCTTGTGGACTTCAACTCCCAGAATTCCTGAGCCAACATGGCTGGAGGAGGAGGAGGAATTCTGGTCCACAAGTCTTAAAGCTGCCAAGTTTGAAGATCCCTGATTTAAAGCGACGTTCCTCAACCTCCACCACTTTAAGATGGGCGGACTTTCAACTCCTACAATTCCCATCTTAAAGTAGTGGAGGTTGAAACAACTGACTGAGAGGACCTTGATTCCACCAGCTTTTCACCCAGCAACACAAGAGATGCCTTTCTGAAGGGGGAAAAAAAAACCTCATTTATAACCTCCCATCGTTCGAGGAACCTCATTTACCAAGTAGCTTAAGAATCCGAAGGCCGCACAAACCAGGGATGAATAAATGCAGGTACAGTCACCTAAACGTTAAGCCTTCCCGACCAAACAGATTTTGGCTCCACCACAGCAATGTTCTGACTCCAAAGCCTTGGACAGGCTTAACAGTCTACACACAACAATCAACGGTTAATTCAGCCATTTTTTTCCTTCCCCATTGGCTGTTTCCGACCACAGAAAAGCACTCCCAGTTCTTTGCACTTACAAATAAAGGTGTAATCCAGGAAAAGAGTTTAGGTAACTCAGCCCTCCGCTCTTCAGTCTTCTAGAATGTTGCTTTGCACCTGCAGAAAAAGTATATATACACATATACATATATACGTACATATATATAAAAGCAAGAAGTCTGTTTACTATCTTTGAAAACCAAAACCAGGAAATAACTTCAGTCACCCGCCAGCAAGTGTCGGATTAGGCTTAGACAAAGTCCCAGATCTCATGAGCGTTCCTTAAAATGCACCCCCGTCCCGTCTTGGGACATCGTCCAATGCCAAATTCATTACCCAGAGAGGATTAGTTTTCTCCTAACAAGAATTGGAATGTACACATTGTGCTAAAATCCAGAAATGTCTGGACCAATAAGAGATCCAAAGATTCTAACATGAAAAGTGCCCCTCTAATTGTGGCATCTATTCAGAAAAAAAATATTTTGAGCCAGAACTGCATCCAGCACCGGCCAACAACATTGTAAAAGTCTTTTTTCCCCCTTAAGTCTTGTCTCCAGGCAAACCAAAAATATTCTGTTTGTTGAGGTCTGGTGTCGTTTTCCTGCCCAAAGCAATTTGGAAAATCCCTTTCATACTTCATAAGACATTCTCTGCCTTTTCTGTGCAAATACATCAATCAGCCTCTTGTCCCCGAGCGAGCAGCCAGCCGTTGGGAAGGGGAGAGAAAGAGGAAAGGCACAAAAACACAACGACAATGCAGTGGAGAATGAAAACCACAATGCACAACCCAAAACCGGGTCTTGTGGCACAGGGGCCAATGGCAACTTCAACTGGCACGGGCCTTAAGGGTGGCAAGGAAGGCTGGCGGCTGCAAGCGAGTCGCAGGGCAAGGATGAATTTGTAAAATAAAAGCCAGGGTTCAATTGGTGAATCATGCAAATCCCCTAGGTGAACCGGCTGGAATCAGTGATTTGCGATGAAGCCGCACGAAGACCACATTCTGGGAGTGAAGCCCATGAAATAATAAAATCTCTACGTGGCAGACAGATCTCTTTCAAGTGCAAGAATCTTCCCAGAGGCCATTTTGGGATTCTCGTGTAATCAAGCCTGGTTTTCTGCAGCAGGTTCCCCCCGAAAAGGGATCAGGAAACCCATTCTGCTTCCTTCCCGGGATCCGCTTTGAAGTCACTGCAATCCTAGAGCCGAGGACCCCACGGCCGGCCCAGGGCTCCCCAAAAGCCGCATTTCACAGCCTCTCAGAAGGGCCAAATTCCCTCTTGGGGGGCAGGGAGAGAAAGAGAGACACCGTGATTTCCATCCCGTTTTCCTTGCCAGCTCTCTGTATTCCATCTCATCTACCTCTAAATAGAATTTAATCAAGGGGTGTGCTGAAATCCAGCAAGAGCACCCTCCGCTTCCTTGCCCGTCAGTGGGGACATCCAACGCACAAGATTCCTGCTGACCACAGAGCAGCCTTCTCTTTTGTTCACTTGACAGCCATGGATATTTCAAGTCGCCAGCAGGTCCTTCCTGCCTCCTGGCAGAGGGGGGACCAGGTGCGTGGGGCAGGTGTTGTACAATGTATGGGCTCCATCTGGATTTAGAAACATAGCTGTAGGCCACAACGGGAGGGAAAACTGCAAGAAAGCAGCCTTGGATGTGCAAGACCGCTAGTGAAGATTGCACACGCAGCTGTAAAAGTACCACAGAACAACGCCCCCCCCCCCCATAAAAATAAAAGGCACAGAGAAATAAAATAAAAGTGAGTTGAGGCAGAGAGGCTGTAAAACCGCAGAGGCTGATCTGAACCTGTTTAAACGCCATCGGGGCCACCATCCGTCTTCTCCCCTCCCTGCAGATTTTTTTGAGCGGCGGGACGTGGCAACAGGTAACTGGGCAGCAGAAAAGTCACCCCTCCATTCTGGTCCCTCCGCAAACCCAGCCGCACATTCAAATTCTGCAGGGAAATAAAATCCCTCCCAAAGCAAAAAGGGCATCGGCCCGACGGTAAACAACACGACGACTCAGGCCGCAGGGAGGAGAAAGTCCAGCCTCCGTGGAGCCGGGCTGAAGTCTGAGTGGGAAATACCCATGGACGTTTCTCCAGAAACGGGTGGACATTTGGGGGGGGGGGGTGTTCATCCAGCCTCCTCCAGGCTTGAGATTTCCAGGAAACCTCCCTCCTCCCAGCGCTTTCTCTGGCCTCCAAAGTTGCTGTTTTTTCAGCTGTTGCTTCGAGTCCTCCGAACCCCAAAACCACGCAGCCCCCTTCACCACATTCCTCCTCCTTCCACGCCTCGCTCACCCCCAAAAGGACAAAAACTTCATTTCAACGGCCCTTTTGCATTTTCTCTCCCCCATTGCATCTCCCCCCCCCCCCAAACCCACCCACCCCCCCCCCCCGTGCCCTCCTTAAAAAGGCCTAATCCCCCGAAAGTCAAAATGGGGGGGGGGGGGGGGGGGGGGACCCCCCCAAACCCCCCCCCCCCCCCCGGAATAAAGCAACCCCTAAATAAACCAGGCTCTGTGGAATTGGGGAGGGGGCCCTCATCTGCTCCCATTAAAGGGCCGCCCAGCTGTGCAGGAGCCCCCTAAAAACTCACCCCTAAAACCCCTTTCAGGGCTACCAGATAAGCAATGCAAGGGGGGACATCAGACGGAAAGGCCTCCCCCCGCCCCCGCTGAACCAGAAAGATGTTGGGGCCCTTAAGCAGACACATTACAATATATGTCATAATAAAATATAAGACCATATAGGATAATATAATATAGATCAGGCTATAAATTTCATTTTGATAGATGCTGATTAATGTATGTTTGAGTGAAAAAGGATTTATCCTATTCGTCCTCTTGCAATTAAGCTTTGGGGGAGGGGGGGAAACAAGGCATGTTTGAATGTCTCCAAGACCCCCCCCCCAGGAAACCTATTTTATCCCCTAACCTATTGCTCTTTGCAGTTCATTTTCCAGAAAAAAAGCAGGCGCTATCGATCCCACAGGAAGCTCGCTGAGATGAGTAGCGATATAAATGTGCAAATAAATAAAATAATACGGTCCTTCCGATTGAGTTCCGGGGGGGGGGGGGGGCAGGACAACCGGACATGCGTGCGAGGGGACCCACAGGGACCCTCAATATAAGGCATAATTCGATTATAGAGCAGAATAAGGGAGCAGGCGGAGGGATAATAGGACGAATATCCCTCTCCTTGCAGTTGGGAGGGGCACCCCAGACTCACACGTGTCTGCATGAGGCTGCAGGAAATCTATCATAGATTAAGAGGATTAAAAACCCCGTAATATACCATGTTAATTAAATTATACTATAAATTTAACACCCCCCCATTTCTGCAGAGGCAGCACAGATAAGATGCAGCCCATTATTTACAATGTAACGACAGAATAATAGAGAATATCCCACGGATCAAGACCACCCGAGGCCCCTTCCGGGTCAATTTGGGGAGCGGGGTCAGCACAGACGCCCCCCCCTCCAAGCCCAGGAAAGTCTGCCACAAATAGAATAAAGTGGCTTCCTGGGAGAATTCACGCAGCCTTGAATGGGGTCAATACTGACCACGACCCCCCCCCCAATCACAAAGACCCCTCCCCAAGCAGCCCCCCCACCCAAGAGCCCCCTTTGACGGGGGGGAGGAGCGGCGGCGCGGGCGCATTCATACGTGCATCTTCCGTGTCCGCCCGGCCTTGCTCCGCTCTCCCCCGCCAGGAGACCCCCCCTCCCAGGGCGGGGCTTGTGGGGCGGGGGGGGTCGCGCCCCCACCACGACCACCACCCACCTGCGCCCCGCGGCGGGGCTGGCACGGCGGCGGCTGCAAAATGGCGGCGGGGCGGGGCGGCTCAGGCCCCGCCCCTGGCGACCCTCCGCCAATCCGAGCCCACGGCGGCGCTCTAAGCCCCCCTCCGGCCTTCTCCATCCTTCAGAGGCAGCGGCGGTCGGCCTCGCGGGGTCCTTGGACCGGGGAGCGGGCTTCAGCCCGGGAAAAGGGAGCCTGGGCTGCCCGGAAAGCAGTGCAACTCGCACTTTGCCGTCCGTTTCAAAGGGGGGGGGGTCTCCCCCAAAGACACATTGCATCCCCGGAAGGACCCCTCCCCAAATGCCATTGAAACCCACCCTTGAGGGCTGCCACACCTTTCTCGCATGGGGGATGGGCAGCTTTGGGGGTGCCCCGCCTTCCCTGTCCTGCTGGGCTTTGCTCAGGTAGAGGGGGGAGTTCCTGGCAAACCTGTCTTGCTCGTGGGGGGGGGGGGATGGGGGGGGGGGGGTCCATCACAACAATTGCACTACATAAGACTGCTGCAAAGGAACTTTATTGCCACAGCATGTGCACAAAGAAATGTTTTATGGGCAGAGGGCAGGAAGGGGCCTTCTTGGTCAATTCAAATCTTCGAGCCCCCCGCCCCCCCCAGAACAGCTGGGTCCAGTTGGCCATTGCCAGACCCCCAAGTCCAACAGAAACCAGAGGGGGCCCCTCCTGCTTCATCCACGCCGTCAGCGAAACCTGCTTCCCCAGCCTAAGCCATCCGGATCTCCGTTTGGGAGGCGGCCCTGGATTTCCTCCTGCTGGACCAGGACAAGAGGGTGTCCTCCCCGAAGGCCCCCTCAAAGGCCCCCCGCACGGACCGCCGGAAGCTCTTCTGACCCATGAAGACATAGAGAAGCGGGTTGAGGCAGCTGTTGAAGAAAGCCAGGCTGGACGCCAGCGGGACGCCCAGGTGCAGCACCCTCTTGACCACTGGGCTGCCGGATGTCTTGGACATCTCCAGCAGGGAGAGGACGTGGTAGGGCGAGTAGCAGAGGAAGAAGGAGGCTGTCACGGCCGCAATGATCCGGAGAGGCTTGGGCGACTTGGCCAGGCGCCTGCGCTGCACCTGGAAAGCCACCACGCCGTGGCAGGTGGCGATCACCGTAAAGGGCAGCAAGAAGCCAAAGACGAACCTGGCCAGGATCATGGCTCTGTGCCTTTTCCGCCACAGGATCCGGCTCCCCTCGCTGGAGTAGTTGCTGGAGAGGGCAAAGTTGTTGTAGCAGCTGGTGGCATTCCTCGCACTCAGGGCCGTGTCTCGGAAGAGGAAGTATGGGGAGCTGATGAGCAAGGCTGCCCCCCAGGTCACCAGCGCGATGGCCCAGGCCAGCCGGGGCTTCCGGTGGTTCCTGGACCACACCGGCAGCACCACCAAGAGGCAGCGGTCCAGGCTGATGATGGTCAGGAGGAAGACGCTGGCGAACATGTTGAGGAAGGCCAGGCTGCTGTTGAGTTTGCAGAGGAAACGTCCGAAGGGCCAGTGGAAGTCCAGCGCCGTGTAGGCGATGCTCAGCGGCAGGAAGAAGGTGAAGACGAAGTCGGCCAGCGCCAGGTTGAGGAACCACACCACGTTCACCGTCTTCTCCATCTTGAAGCCGGCGATCCAGATGACCAGGCCGTTCCCGGTCACCCCCAGGAGACAGGCCACCCCGTAGACCGCGATGGAAAGGAGATGCAGGGTCCTTTCGATGCCCTGGGAGGGGCCGGGGGCTGAAGGGGTCAGGAAGGGCGAGAGGGAGGCGTTTTCCATTCGGAAGAGAGAATCCTGAAATGGGGTAAACGTCAAGTTGATCTCACTGGTGGAGGGGGCCAAGAACGGTTTAAAAAGTACAGAGAAAAGCAATCCAACGGGAAGAAAATGCCCCCCCCCCCCCCCAAAAAAAAACACCTTGGATTGAAGCAAAATTTGGCCTAATGGCAATTACATTAATTTTATTTGAATATTAAGCGACACATTATTGTTTTTCTTACTTAGGAATATCGTATCGCGGCTCACATTTTCAAGCATTGTCCCCCTATTTCTGTTCCATATGAGGTTTGATTTCTACACTAGCTCCAGTTGGGATTTTGTTCTGCTTAAACCCCCCTTTTTAATTTTATTGTCAATATATTGATTTCCCTTGCTCCCTTTGATTTTTTAAAAAATCATTTCCCTCCTTCTCTTTTCCTCTATGCTGACAGAAATCCTCTTACTCTGTTCTTTTCCCTCTATTTCTCCTGGGAGGGGAGAAATATATGGGAAAACTCACCCCTCTTCTCTCCTCTTCCAACCGATGTCTCTCCCTGATCGAATTCTGGGTCGCTATCCCCACCGTGTCGCATTTTGTCTGTTCCTTTGGAAGAGGGATCTTCCCAGCGGTGATTCAGGGTGGCTTGAAGATTTTCCTTCTTCTTTCCATAAGTGTGACTTTAGGGGAATTTGATTTATTTAATATATTCCACCTCTCCTTCCTCAATCTGTTATTGATGGAACTTTAAGCCTTTAAAAAGAATTATTCAAACTGTGAATTTATTGGAATTCAGGTGCTTGATGGCGGAGGTTGGCTGCCCTGCTTAGATTATCTGGTTTCACTTACAGGGATGGAAAGAAACGGATTTAAACAAAGTTTAAATATTATTATTATTAATACTTAATAAGTCCAGGCTTAGACATGAAAACTGGCTGGGAAACTTTAGCCTGGTCTATAGTTAGCCTAACTATCTTAAGTTGTTTATAAAAATAATAAAGGTTGGATAAAACACATCTACAAAAAGAGCAAAGACATGACAAATTTGTCCCAATTGCAAGGATTCACACCAGCGTATCACAAACCTGGCAATTTAAGATCTGTGGACTTCAACTCCCAGGAATCCCCAGCCAGATATTGGCTGGGGGATTCTGGGAGTTGAAGTTCACAAAACTTTTCCGAGTCTGAGAAATCATAAATTTTACTGAATAGAATAAAGCGGGCCCTGCAGTCTTTCTCTCCAACAGCTCGCGTCTTCTATTGTTTAATTACAGCCAATCCTCGGAAGATCCTTTTACGGGGGTGCGGATGGAGCTGGGAATCCAATTTCGCGCAAAAAAAAAGTGGATTTTAAAATTTGGTTCCTGGGTGGGGCAAATGCATAACGAATACAGCCAGAAACTTTTCTGCTTGGGTTTTTATTTTGATCTCAACCCTCCGGATAGAAAAAAAGTTCAAAATCTCAGCCCGCGGATGCCTAATTATCTTGCGAAATCCGCGCATCTCTTTCCAAAATCTCTCCGATGCAAAAGAGCGCGCGGGAGGCGGGCCGGGCTGCTTTCTCCTGATTGGCTGTGACGCGCCGCGGTAAAATCCTCCGGGACGGTCAGGCGAGCGTGCTGATTGGCTGCGGCGCGGGCCAGAAAGTGCTGAACGTTCCATCCCCCGAGCGCGCGGGACCTCGTGGATTTAAGGCCGGAGTTTGCAGGGAGGCGCCTCCTTTTCGCGGGGGCGTCCGCCGTTGCACCGAGGATCCCGGTAAGTATTACGGTTTGGAGGTGGGGGGGAGAGGAGCCTTCTCCTTTTTTCCCTGCAGGATCTCGCGCCCTTTCCTACAGGGCTACTTCTCTGCATAACAGGCGGGAATTCAACGGGTCACTCCCGCTTTCTCTCCCCTGGCTGCCTCCTCCCTGGCTTTTGCAGCCCGTTGCAAAACGAGAGCCCAGCAGCCCTGCCAGGCTGCCATCCCCACCTCGGGCCGCTTGCAGATCGTCGGTAGCTTTAGGACGCTGCCTCTGGGTCAGCCCGTTTTTCTCCTGCCGGGGAAACAGATCTTAGAACGTTATTACAATATATTCGCGATCTAATATATGGGGTAAATCTCTGGTCTCCGGGACCGGCCCAGATTAGATTTCATGATAGAATCATGGTCCTGGGACCCGTGTATTTGCCTTCATTCGTGAGAATGCAATCTGCCTGCTGTGTGCAGACGAGCAGTTTACAGAAGTGTAGCAGGGATTTTAAAAACTTCCTTGGCAAGGGGACAGTGACAGAAGCGGTTCTACAAAAGGTGATTAAATAACTGAACAAGGTGGGAAGAGTGGTGAAAGAGAGGAATCCGTAAAGCAGCTGATTATACTGTCAATTTTCAGCATTGCAATCATTAGAAGCTGTGCGCCAAGTTCATATTCGCTCCTGAGATGCCAGGCAGGCCTTGAGCCAATAAAAGAGTAGGGTGTGAACTCTGGGAGCTTGCAAGCGTTTGCCCAGAAAGTTGTGTGCACCCGGACAGTTTGGCGTTCTTCAAATCTGATGGGGTTCCTGCCGCCCATGGCTTGTAAACAGGAAAGATAGGCAGAATTCCAACACTAGACAACAGGAGACTTTTGTTCCCCTGGGAAAGTTAATGTATAACTTGAAGTGGCCCAGGCAGAGACTGCTGGAGGGAGGGAGGGAGGGGCTGGGGTCAGCTGATGGGAAGCTGCTGGGCTGGTCCTGGAGCGCATTGCTCAGGACAGGGGTGTCTAATCTTGGTAACTTTAAGGCTTGTGGACTTTAATGCTCAGAATTCTGGGAGTTGAAGTCCAGAAGTCTTAAAAGTGGCCAAAGTTGGGCACTGCTGCCTTAGGGACTCCTGCTGCCCACCCACCCCCGGAAGGCACCCCCAGAACGCTGCTTCTGCAGCTGTCAGTTGGGCCGCTGTCCAGCAAGCTGCTTCCTTCCCTTTTCATCCCACCCCCTTTCCATGCCTCATTCACACAACATGCTAAAGAGAAGATTGCTTGAGAGCACTGGGCACCGCGCAAACACGGGGATGAATTCACGCAATCCCCCAGAACTGATTTTTCTCTACCGTAGCAACTTAAAGATGGGTGGACTTCAGTTCCCGGCACATGGGAATTCTGGGAGTTGAAGTCCACCCATCTTAAAGTTGGCCGGGGTGTGAAGACCTGGGCTAGCTAGCCGAAATCTAACGGTTTACAAAACATCCAGATTCAGACAAGGCAGGAGGCCTTGTGACTCTGGATACTGGATAGGGAACCAAGCCACAACATCACAACATGGGCTGCAGAACTGCCACTTCCCCCTTTCCTGGATGTTTAGAACCATTCATTCGTTCATCACATTTACGCACCTCCCGACTGACTACTGAAATAACTCCTTTGGTTTGCATTGATTCCCATCTTATAACTCTCCTTTGAAGAGCCACCCCCACACACACACCTTAAATCACTGCTAAATGCAAGGCGGAGACACTCCTTTTTGAGGGTGGCAACGGAATACTGATTTCGTTCTGGGTTGCAAAATACTTTGCGAGGTGCAGCGCTGGTGTTGTTTTTTACAAACTCAAGTCTTTGCCAGGTTCCTAGTACTTCCAGCTGCCATGGCCAGCACGAATGCCGGCGGGGACCAGGCCACCAGGGACCTCTGGGTCTCTCACAACAAGATGGTGATGGAAGCCCTGGACACCAATGATCCCGAGGTAGGCCGCTCGTCCGTTCCCTGCTGCTTCTTTGACGGGTGACCTCAACTGGGGGGAGGGGGGGGCTGTATTGATCCGGGTGGGCAGAGGCCACTGACCGGCAGCGTGACCTTCCATTGGGAGTTTTTAAGCTGGCTCAGCTCTTGCAGGTTGACACACCTCTCAGCCTTGCATGGGGAATGAGAGCAGCGAGCACAACGTGTTCCAAAGTTGGGTTTGTCGCAATCAATGGCTTGCGTTCCTCTTGAGTAAACAGCCTGGATGAGCTGCAGCGTCGCTGCTGGTGCAGCTTACGTGGGAAACGGCAGGGAACGCCCCCGTCCTCCCCTCTGGCTCTCCCGGAAGAATGTAGTAGGAAGATTGCTGTAATTGACCCACTCAGGGAATTTTAAACCTGCACTTCAGGAAACTTTCACGAGGGACGTTTATTTGCTGGGATGCTACAAAGATAGCATGCCAACTGATCAAGCCAGATAGCCAAGGCAGCCCCCAATGCAAAGCAAGATATATACTAATTATTTAGGAAAATTAGAAACTTCACATTTCAATACGCGAAGCACCTGATTCTCTCAAGATGAACTACTATAATATTCTATCCTTTACCCTTCCCTGGACACCTGAGTATGCCAAGCCTTCTCACCTGCAGCCCCAGACAGACACCCCCCCCTCTCAATCCTATTCCAGCAAGCCCCCCCTTTTTTTCTGCCCTCCCCAGGTCTATGATATTATCAAGAAAGAGAAGCGGCGACAGAGACTCGGGCTGGAGCTGATCGCATCCGAAAACTTTGCCAGCCGAGCCGTTCTGGAGGCGCTGGGCTCCTGCCTGAACAACAAATACTCAGAGGGATATCCGGGGCAGAGGTGGGGCTGGGAAGGAAGGCTGGTGGGTCTGGAGTTGGAGGAGACCCTTGGACCAGATGAGGCCTCTAAAGGGGACGCTAGGAGCAACCTATTTTTCCCCTCCCCTGCTTGGGTTGTGGATACGGTCCTTGACTTAAAACTGGGGCCTTGGTGGGGGTCAGGATCGGATACGTGAACGGGTAAAATGATAATCAGATCTACAGTTTTCTAGCTCTTCCCAGGGATGTTTTCTGAAACGTGGTTTGCAAGTGGCTGTGCAGCCTTTTCCCTCTGGTGGGGTGGCTTTGCTCCCCTGGGTGTTTAAGGGCCCTCGGAGATTTCTCCCCGCAAACCTACACGTTCCAAAGGTATATTTAAACCTGTGCAGACTTCAACGCCCAGAGTTCCCCAGCCAACGGTGGCTAAGGCTTCCACCTGTTTCTTTTTCTTAGATATTATGGTGGGACAGAATTTGTCGATGAGTTGGAAAGACTTTGCCAGAAGAGAGCCCTGGAGGCCTATGGGCTAGACCCCCAGAAGTGGGGGGTCAACGTCCAGCCCTATTCAGGTATTTTGCAAGCTCTTCTGGAACGGGCTGCAGCGGGCCTGTCGGGGGCGGCCCATACGGGCCCAAGAGGGCTGCTTTCACCCAACCGACCGGTGTTTGAACATGACTCAACGCGGCTCTTCTTGGCGTCGTTTTGTTTCAGGGTCCCCCGCAAACTTCGCTGTGTACACCGCCCTGGTTGAGCCCCACGGGAGGATCATGGGCCTGGATCTGCCGGACGGGGGTCACCTCACCCACGGCTTCATGACCGACAAGAAAAAAATCTCTGCCACGTCCATCTTCTTCGAGTCCATGCCCTACAAGGTGACTTCCATGCCCCGAGAGGGAGAGAGAGAGGGAGAGAGAGACCTACCCTTGGGAAATTGGCTCAGAGTTTGTGCAAAATTCAGGATTGCACTCCTCCCCGGGTGGAAAGAATTGGGGGAGGGGGATCCTCAGCCCGTTTGCTACGAGCCTTTCCTGGCTTGCCATGCGCCCCCTTCCCCTCCTTTTGCCCCCCCCCCCTCCACTTCTTCATTTGGCTTCAGGTCAACCCCGAAACGGGCTACATTGACTATGACCATCTGGAGGAGAATGCCCGCCTCTTTCACCCAAAGCTGATCATTGCAGGTGAGCCTCCTTCTCTTCCGCTCCCCGGGGTTACTCAGAGGTCATCTGCTTGGGCCTGGGCACTCTTCCCCTGGCTGTGCTTCCCTGGTCTTACGAGCGCAACTTGAGAAAAGTCCGGGAACCAAAACGACAGGAGCACATTCGACATCCCGAATTGTGAAGATATCAACTCAAGGAGGAGAGACGTCCAGGCCGAGGGCCTTCCACGTCAGGAGCAGCTCCATCCTAGAAGCAAGTCCAGGGCCCCGCTGGCGCCTCCGTCCCTGGAGCCCGTTGGAGTAGCCCTCGCCCTCTCTCTCCCCCACCCTAGGGGTCAGCTGCTACTCCCGGAATTTGGACTACGCCCGGATGAGGAAGATCGCGGATGAGAACAGCGCCTACCTCATGGCTGACATGGCCCACATCAGCGGCTTGGTGGCCGCCGGCGTGGTGCCTTCCCCTTTCCAGCACTGTGACGTGGTTTCCACCACCACCCACAAAACCTTGCGGGGCTGCCGGGCAGGCATGATCTTCTACCGGAAAGGTGAGGGCTGCAGCGAGCAGGTGGCTGGTGCTCCGTCTTCCTGGGCTGAAACCCCTGGAGCCAATGGCCAGGCACCGGGCACCTTCCAAGCACCCTTCTTCCCTTCTCTCCAGGCGTCCGCAGCGTAGACCCCAAGACGGGGAAGGAGGTCCTATACAACCTGGAAAGCCTCATCAACCAGGCCGTCTTCCCTGGTCTCCAGGGAGGCCCTCACAATCACGCCATCGCAGGTGAGCAGCCCTCGAGCAAAAGACCATCACAGCCTGGGAACTGGGAGGAGGAGGAGGAAAACTGGCCAACGTATTCCTGCCGGCTTCCTTCGAGCTCACGCCAAGAAAAACATCCGGAGAAAACGGGTTGCATTGTCTGCTCTTTCCAGCCCCTCAGTCTGGCCTGGCCTGTCCCCCCACCCACCCACCCACCCCCGGGGGCATTACTATACAGAGGCACCACTTAATCCATCTTCCACTCTTTGGGGGGGTCGGGACAGGAATTGCTGTGGCTTTGAAACAAGCCATGACTCCCGAATTCAAGACGTACCAGCAGCAGGTGGTGGCCAACTGCAAGGCTTTGTCTGCCGCGCTCACCAGCTTGGGATATCATATCGTCACCGGTAAGAAAATGGGATCCTCTCCGGGACAATTTCCACACCTTGCCGGGTTTATTTCCGAGTAAATGCCTGGCAGGATTGTGTTGTGTGGCAGCCGTGGGTGTAGTTCTCCTCGGGTGTCTCCTCTGGAGCAGGCAGGGCTCCCCGGGAGGTGCTCTGTGCCGCCCTTCAACAGCTGTTCTTTGTGGGGGGGCTCTCCTTGCAGGGGGCTCCGATAACCACCTGATCCTGGTCGATCTGCGCAACCAGGGCACGGATGGGGGGCGAGCTGAACGGGTCCTGGAGCTCTGCTCCATCGCCTGCAACAAGAACACCTGTCCAGGTGAGGGAGGCTCGGCCGGAAGGGACATGCCTCGGCCCCAGGGGTTTTGCTGGCACGGGGTCTACAAGGACGGTGGCCGTTGGTTGGTGTCACCGCTTGGACCTTCTTAAGCAGGGGAAACAACGCAGTGGCCAAACTGGCCCCAAGCCTTGTGGCCAAGGGACCTCGATTCTGGCGACCCTAACCCCCATCCTTTGGGGGCCCCGTTGGCTGGGAGATGGGAACTGGGAGAGAGCAAAACCGCTGGGTTAGCCAAGGCTTGCCTCCCCCAGGCTAACAGTCCCAAGGGGGCTTGGACACACAGCCACACTTGCGCTGAAGTCGGTGCAATGTAGGCCTTCGAGACCGAACCGCAGTCCCGGAGCACAGCTGCTTGCAGGGATGACCGTCTGCTTCGGTCCCCAGCCGGCACCAACCAGCTTGCTTTTCCTGCAATTTAATCCCCGTCTTCCCCTCCCCTCCTTGTAGGAGACAAAAGCGCTTTGCGTCCCAGTGGGCTGAGATTGGGGACTCCGGCTCTCACCTCCAGAGGACTCCTGGAAGACGACTTCAAAAAAGTCGCTCACTTCATTCACAAAGGTGCGGGGTGGTCATTATACCTGCTTTGCCTGCCCTCACCCCCCACCCCCTCAGGCCAAACAGTGATGGTGTGAATCCTGGGAAGATGAGGAGGGGGTGGGTGGGATAGTGAAGGAAGTTTTAAGGAAGAATTCTCCAACCTTGGCCACTTTGAAGACTTGTGGACTTCAAATCCCAGCATGCATTGGGTGGGGAATTCTGGGAGTTGAAGTCCACAAGTCTTCAAAGTGGCCAAGGTTGGAGAGCCTAACTTTAAGGGAACTGGGTGAAACCTTGGGAGGGGAGGGAAGATCTGCAAAGCGGCAGAGCAAGCGTTGGCCAAGGGCAAAGGCTTCAGCAGGAAAAACACCCCCAAAGAAAGGTGTTCTTAAACCTAGAACGGGCTCCTGTGAGAAATGGGGGGGGCTCCCTTTCTCTGGAATAATAGAGGCAAAGTCCAGCCAGCTGGACCCCTTGATTCTTGCATCCCAGAGATTTCATTCCGCAGGGCTGGATTGGGCAACCTTCCCCACTGACCCTGTTGTTCAGTCTTGTTTCAGTGAAGTGCTTCAGCTCAGGCAGGTGTCTCTCTTCCCCCGTACAGGTATAGAGCTCACCTTGCAGGTCCAGAGCGACATGAACCCCAAAGCCACCCTGAAGGAGTTCAAGGAGAAGTTGGTGACGGAGCCGAAGTACCGAGGGCTGCTGAGGTCCCTCGAGCAGGAGGTGGAGGCCTTCGCCGATTCCTTCCCGCTTCCCGGCTTGCCTGTGTTGTAAAGGAGCCACACCTGGAATGGCAGCCCCCCGCCCCCACCCCAGCTGCTCCCTTGCGAAGGCAGCCCCCCCCCCCCCCCCCCCCCCCTCCCCCTTGCGAAGGCCCCCCCCCCCCCCCCCAGTACCGTTTCCCTTGGCTCGGCCTCTGCCTTTTTAATCAGCTTTTCAAGCAAATTCTGTTCCTCCCCCCCTTTTAAAAAACGCACCACGGCTGGCAAGGAAATGGAACAAGGGCAAATTTTAGCACCCACCCTCCCTGGAACAGAAATTAATGACAGGCCAGTCATTTGGGGGGGGGGGGATTGTTCTCCAAACTCTTTTGCATTAAGTTACAGAACTTATTGCCACAATTTATAGGGATGACCCTACGATGGCCTGCCTTCCGTTCCCCTCGCAGCCTTTGCAGGAAACCTGGTGGCTGGCCAGGGAAGGAAGCAGGAAGCTGGACAATGCCGGGGTTTTCATTTTCTCTCGTACTCCAGAGCTTGTCCCGCGGTTTGTACTTCGAGTTCCCAAAAAGCAGAGGTGTGGTTCAAGGAAAGGGGCGCTTTTAATGACAAGCTGAGCAACATATTTGACACCAATTTCTCCCCACTCGCAATTTCTCTCCCCACCCACCACCGACAGTTGCCTTCACTGTACTAGATGCACAAGCCCAAACATACCGTCAGGACAGTTTTTACTAAGCACAATAAAATTAAGAATTTTACCACGAGTGTATGGGTTATATAGGCTTTAAAAAATACAACAATATATATATATATATATATTTGTATTTCAAAAAATATTTGCGCCCAAATAAATAATTTCCTTTTTTAAATATACACTTTTTTTTTTAAGTCACAGTAGCTTGGTGTTGAGTATTATTTCATCCAGTTCTTGCTCAGGATGTGACTTAATAGCACGGATGCATGAAGGCTGCCTGGATTTCTCTGAGGGGCCCCAGTTTCTGCTGCCTCCTAAGTGCCACCTATGCAAAAGCTCTGGGACCAAACCAGAAAATCAAACATGCAGAGATGAGAGACGCTGCTTGGAAAGTGACGAAATTGGCAATAAGAGGAAAAGTTCGGGGGGACCCTGGAAGGGCTGTGCTACGTCTACAGATACAACTATAAAGGCAGGCCAGCCAGCACCGGATCAACTCAAGCAAAGTCTACATGAAGTCGCAGCGGCTACATAGCAACTCCAGATTGCTCTCAAAAAGGCACAATGGCCCCGGACGGGCAGAGCCACCCAGCTACCACGCTGCACTCTCCTAAAGCAGCGTTCCTCAACCTTGGCCACTATCAGAGGTGTGGACTTCAACTCCCAGAATTCTCCAGCTGGCAATCCACACCTCTGACTGGCCAAGGTGGAGAAACACTGCCTGCAAACGCTCTGGTGCTTAAAGAACTAGGTGACACTTTCCAGCCGACTCTTAAGGATTGCGGGCAAACAAGTTTTAGGGTTTCTTAAATATGCCCAGAAACTGAACATTTTACTTCCAAATCTACTCTCTAGTCTTGCTGAAATGTAATTCTTTGGTGCCGTGCCAGTATGGATGACATCAATGAAACTGGCAACACAACCAACCCTCCCCAAAAATTTCACTGGGAGGAACAAGAAATCGATGCGTTGGAAATCTTTTTCAAATGAGTAAACGAAGTGCGCTCCAAAAAGCTTTCTCAAGCCTGGTCTTGTGCAATCCTGACCTACTACAGAAGGAAAAACTGGCGTGTTTTCGGCATGAGCTGGAATATTTTCAAGGGCAAGCAACAAAGATGTCAATCTACAATGTTCTTAGCCATCAAACTAAGGGCAGCTGGAGCAGCTTTCTTTATTAGCCAAGATCTAAGCCACCGTCTAGAGCAAAAGAACCGTTACCTTTGAAGGGCCTGGGTGCAGCTATGCTTACGCTGACCAGGTCACTAGAACTTGACCCAGCCAATTTGGGGTTCAAAAGTCTCAGGGGTCATATTATGGGAAACAGTGCGGTGTTTCAAAGTCACACAACGTAGCTGACAGACTGAGCTACTCTTAGGCCGAAACCCAAGCCATGTTAGGTTGTTACCCGAGGGGCACCCATCTTCACATCCTTAACAGTTTTCAGAGCTGCACCCTCTTCCCCATTCAGAAGTGCAACGCAACAGCAATAATTCACATTAGTTGGAATACTAACCCACATGCAAATGAGATGCACTGGAGATATCCCACCGATCTGCAAGAGACCCGACCGGAAGAACTCGCTCACAAACTCGGCTATCCCAGCTTCCTCAAGTTCATGACTGCCTGCCACATTCATGCCCCCTCCGTACAAAACGCTGCTCTCTTGCCTTTTGAGAGCCACCTGGCAGCGGTGCCAGGTGTCTGGAGTCTCACTTTAACCTCTTATCGCTCTCAGGGACAGTCCTGGAAGGGTGGAAGCCTGTTAAGGGCCACAGACGAATGTGGGGCGAGGAGGGACACTGGCAGGGCAGGCTCTGGAGGCCGCCTAAATTTTGTACAAGGAGCTGGGCAGGTAATCGAACCTGAGCACGGGGCTAACCCCGCAGATGGGATCCTGAATGTACTGCAATTTCAGAAGCTCGGCCAGATACTGGATCACTCTGCGGTCCTCGTTTGCCAGACCCAGCTGGACTTTCAAGAAGTTCTCCCGCCGCGCGGTGACCGAGTCCTCCGTCTCCCCTTCTCGGATGGGGAGGTGCAGGTGATGGCAGAAAGCGTAGAGGAAGGCCTTGGAGCAGAGCTGGGTGAGGAGGGTCTGGACGTGCACTTGGTAGGTGCTCCCTCGCTTGATCTGGGTGCGGTGGTCGGCCAGCCGGAGGATCAGGTGCCCTCGGTACTGCGGGCAGCGGAGGGTCTTGTGGTCGGCGTCCAGCACGCTGATGTATCGGCTGTATCGGCTGAGAGAATGCATCATGTTGGGGCCACCTGGAGAGGTTGACCTGCAAAGAGAAGGAACAGGTGCAAATGGGGTGGCTGGAAGACAAAAGGTGCCCTTGAGGCAGAGTGAAGCATCTTAAAGAGGAGGAGCCACCATTAAACCCTCTCAATGCCCACTATTGAAAAGGATCTTATAAGCACGTTTGCCCTTCTTTACTGCACTTTCTCGGGAGATCTTCGCTAAAGGATAGGATACTTTATTGCCTTTTGACAGCTAACTCCCTTATCTGTGTTCACCTGAACCCCTTCCCCCTATCCCAGCCTTTGTTAGAACAGAAGGAGAGCAGATCCCTTGTTTACTGAATAGGGGTAGGACACACCAATTGGCTACACAGATAAAACAATGCGATTGTGGCTGTTCAAATCTCAGCCTGGCCACGTCTACCAGCCACTGGAACTTGAGGAAGTTACTGGTGATTTTTAGCAGAACTGCAAGTTCCTCTTTCTCTCCTCATGCTGTGGTTCAAGTTTACCGCTTCCCCAGACACAGGAAACCAGCAACCTTTTCTTTTCAGTCAGCTGATCAACTGGTTGGCTTGAAACAAGAAGCCTTCTGCCAGGCACACCTGTCAAGAGTTGTTTGCCAAGATGGTCAGCTACAGAAACCAAATGAACAAACAGGTTAGCCATCTTGCTCCTGTCTAGCCGCCTTTCTCAATGTAGCTCACTTTCGATCCACCTTCCTTATGACCACCAAGTGTTGAGTAAAGAACATCCCTCAAAACGTATTTGAACAGGATAGTTACGCATAAGGCTAAACGTGCCAACATATGACACTCTTCTACTTCCACACCTCACCGCCCAGGCCCAGCCAACCGTCCAATACCGGCAGAGACCCATTTCAGATCTTGCCACTCAACATGGCAAGGTCAGAGGGAGGAGGGAGGAGCAGGCAATTCTCTCCTTGATGTGACATGGTGAGGACATTTCTGCAAGTATCCCCCTTGGGGGAGAAAGTCCAAGGGCCTGAAACATTACCTCTGGAGCCCCACCAGCTTCCACTTCTGAAAGTCCGTGATCTGCAAAGGCGAGGTAGCCCAGTGCTTCACGGGCTTGGCGTATGCGCCGGAATTGGGGACAAAAATGGAGAGGGCAGCAATGAGCTTCTCCACGGTGGCCTTGTCTTCTCCCAGCACCACCAGGGTCCTCCCGCTCAGCAGAGAGTAGATGGCAGGGTGGGCGAAGGGGTACTGCCGGATGAAGCGCAAGGCGCTCTGCCCAGCCTTCTTGGGCTTTTCTCCCAGGAGAGCAGCGGGGGACGGGGTCCGGTCGGAGTTGGTGGACGCCGCGCTGCTCATGTAACTCGTGGAATCCGAGCATTTATCCAGGCTCATTTTTCTGGTTTCTCGGCCATCACAGAGGTAATGAGGATCGAGTTCGTAGGCAAGGAGGCCTCCCAGGACCCCATCGTGGGAGCAGTCTGTGAAGTTCACCTGAAACCCTGCGTCACCTGGCCTGTATGGCTGTGGGGGGATGCTGACCACGCCGTCGTCATCGCTGTGTCTGGGAGGCACATTGGCTTGACCCTCAAGGAAGTTGGGGCTCTCTTTGCCAATGCAGCAAGAAGCATCCCCCGGAGGGGCTTCAGGTGCAGGGCTGCCTTCCACCTCCTCTTCGGTGCTGTCCAGAGTTAAGTCACGGCTGAACAGGAAGCCCTCCTCTTCTTCGCCACCGTAAGGATCTTCGTTAATGGCACTTGGGTAGCTTGCTTTAAAATCGTCTGGGATCAGGGCCTCTGAGGGGCAGGTACTGAGGACTTCGATGCTGTCTCCGCTAATGGTCCTGCTGCTGGCGGCTTTCTCCCTCACCACGGGGGGGCTGGGGGGCGCTTGTAGCAACCCTGACTGACTTTCAGAGTGGACAGAAGTGGTGGCCGATTTCTCCGTTCCCAAAACTTCAATGCTTTCGCCGCTGCTGACGCTCCCTTTCAGGTCGACATCTAGAAGTTCGACATTGTCATAAGGGACAGAGTGGGAGACCTCTGGGTCTTGCCTGTCTTCAACCTCTGGATCCATCTTAATCGGCACAGACTCCACACTGGATTTGTAAGAGGCAAGGTCGATGAGTATCTCAGGACTTGGTCCGCTTTCCAAACAAGCCACGTTGGGAGGGTCCAGGTTCTGCCCCGGACTGACTTCAAAGGGCTTTTCCTGCTGCTCCTCATCCAGGAGAGACACATCTTCAAAAAGAAAGCTGGCGAATGCCTGCTGCTTCAGGAGGGCTCTGCTGATGCGGTTGATCAGGAGGTAGCAAACGTCGCCCCGGAACATCTTCTCGATCCGGTGCAAGCGGTCGAGGGTCTGGCTGAAGGAGCGCTCCTCGCAGAGTTCCTGCAGGGTTTTCAGCTTCTTGTCAAAGCACTTGCTGGATTTGGCCTGGATGAGCTTCGGGGTGTAGGAGGAGCCCTGGGGACAAGGCGGTGGCAACGTATCATCAACCGGTAACTCTGGCTGGGCGTCCTCTCCAGTCGGCTCGCAGGGAGGCCCGCTGGCCTGCTTCCGCCGTCCGGGTGGATAGGATCGGATCTGCCGGAGCAGGTCGCGGTGCTCGATGATGGCCTTCTCCACGCTGGCCAGCTCGTTGGCCTTCTCGATGGCTCGGCTGGAGTAGCAGCCTTTCGCCAGGCTGCGCTTCTGCAGCTCGGTCTCGCGGTGCAGCACGGACCGGGTATAGTCCAGGTCGCGCAGCTTCTTCTCCAGTTCACGGGCGAAGGCCCTGCGGTTGCCGTCCTTCAGGCCCTCGGAGGCTCCTGAGAACTGGGCCGAGAGCTCCGGGAAGAGGCGCATGACCTTGCGCTCGTCGGCTGACACGTAGGCCAGGCAGAAGGGCCGCACGAATCCACGTGCTTCCAGGTCGTAGAGTGTCAGGTGGTGCACATAGGCGAAGGCACCCGCCTTGGAGTCGCCCAGCACCACCTGCGAGTCCCGGGCGAAGCGCAGGCGCGGGTAGGGGCCTCCCGGGGCTGCCCCCGCCGCGCAGGCCTGGTAGTCCACTGACATGATGCGCAAGGCGAAGTAGTTCAGGTCGAAGCCCCCTGGAGCCTCCCCGGCCGGCACCGTCAGCAGCGGCTGCGGGCCCACCTGCTCCGAGAACTCGGCCACCAGCAGGAAGTCGCGCGGGAAGGGCGGCGGACAGCCCCCCGAGCCGCCCCCCAAGCCGCCCCGCCGGGACCACGGGTGGGCGCCGCGGCCTGGCGCGGGCAGCAGCGGCACCGAGTACTCCTCGGGCAGGCCCGGCTCGCGCGCCGCTGCCGCCGCCTCCTCGGCCGCCGCCTCCTCCTTGGCGAAGGCCACCACGTCGGGCGCGCCGATCATCCTGACCGGAAAACGGGGATCGCGGCCTGGCTCGCCGGAATCGCCGCCGCTGCCTCAGCCCCCCAGCCGCCACCGGGCGGCCATCTTGGAGTCACATGACCCGTGGGCTGGGGACCTTGGCCCCGGAAGCAGTCGCACCGAGGGCAGGGGGAGGGCCCGTTGCGGTTATTGATAGGCTTACTGGATTGATTGACATTAACGGGAAGAGTTTATGGAAGAGTGGGGCGGAGCTAAGAAAAGGCCCGTCAAAAGAAGGGAGCGTTGAAGCGGCCCGCCCGAAGGGCACGCTGGGTGTTATAGTTCTGACTTTCACATGAGTATAACCATAAGGATGGTTAGATGGTTTTTAGATATAACTTCTCCCTCGTGTTCTCCCCAGAACAACAACCCTGAGAGGTGGGCTCCGGGGCTGAGCGACGGCGAGGCTTTATTTATTGCCACCGGCTGCTTCCCCTTCCGCAAAGGGAATCCCCGAAGTTGCGCAAATCGCCGTCCTTTCACGGCAGGGCCGTAAAGCGAGCGAAACCCCGCCCCCTTCGCCTCTCCGCCAATCCGCTTTGCGGAGGGCGCTTACGACGCCGCTGGGCGCGAAATACGGCTGGGAGCTGAAGCGGGAAAGGAAAGGGAATCCGGGGAGGGGGAGCAGGTCGAACAGCCCCCACCCCTCCAGGAGCCAGTGGAGGAGGGGACTGGCTGGGGGAGGGTCTCACAGGCTGTGGGTGGGGGGTGGCAGCTCTGCCTTGCAGCTAAGGGGGCGCGGGGGCACCAGGGGCTTCCTCCACCCTGATCTTGGGGGAATAAAAAGTGGGGAGGGGGAGATTCACATAGCAGGCAGGTGGGCGGCCAGAAGGGCCTGAGGTCAACCTGGGCCTGGTGGGGGTCCCATTGGGGGCCAAGTAGGGGAAAAGCTGCCTGTGCCCACCCCCCAATAGGCTGGCATTGTCCTGGTGCTCCTGAGGGAAGGGGCACCCAGAGAACATTTGGGGTCCCCCCTCCACCTCTGGGACCTGTGAAAACTTGGGGGACCCGTCCCCCCAGCCCCAAGAAGGGACCCGCTCTCTTTCGGACCGGACCACCAGCGTTCTCCTCCCTTGCCGACAGACCTTTGTTGCCTGGAAAAGGAGCTGCCCAGGGCCCATGATGGGCCGGCCGGCCGGGTTTTAGGATGTTTGGCCAGGCCAGAGGATTGGCTTGGGGAACCGTGAGGTTCACCTGCTCCTCCAACCTTCGCTTCAGGCCGGCAGCAGAGACCATGGCACCTCGCAACCTCCAGAAGGTTCTCTGTGTGGCAGAGAAAAACGATGCAGCCCGCGGGATTGCAGACATCCTTTCGAACAGCAGGATGAGGAGGGTAGGAGAGCGGGGAAGCCGACTTTCTGGCCCTGAATGCGAGATTTCCCCTGGTCAGTGGGAAGATGCAGCGTGTGTGGGATGACCTGACGGGAGAAGCTGAAATCAATGTCCAACTTGCTCGTCTGGATTCCAATTTATAAAATGAGCCGAAAATCAGACTGGCAAAGGCGTGGGAAATTCACACATCATTTCTACCATACGTTCTCGGAGAACGGCTGTTAAAGTACACAAAATCTGTCATGATCCCAGGCATGCATTTCTGTGCAAGTTGATGGACTGGAAAACTCTTTAATTTCACATCTAGTCCATTGGTTCCTAAATTGGGGTTAATGACCACCAGGAGAATAATTTGGGCCTGTTGTAAGAGTAATGGAGCAATTTATAATTGCTTGTTTGTGAGTTGAAGATCCACCCTGGGACTCTAAAACAACAGCCTGGGATTTTGGGGTGGGGGGAATAATGACTTTATTTGAGACTGCAAAAAAGTAGTAAAAGGATCAAGGAGAATTTCTGGAGAAATTCTACGAAGAGCCAATAGTAGCAAAGTTACATCCTATATATAAATATCATGGATTACTGCTTGATAGCCGTAATCATCCCGAGAGATTTCTCACAGTATTTATCTGAGTATTGTATTGGTTCACTTATTTAGCTAAACTGATTTCTTGTTGATTAGAATTGTTTGCTTTTCTTTCCAGAGGGAAGGAATGTCCAAGTACAACAAGATCTATGAATTCCAGTATCACTTGTTTAACCAGGTTTGTGTCAAACAGTCCATCATAATTCTCTCTGTACCTCTTATCGCTACATGATGTAACAGTGATGTTATCCATCACTTTTACTTTATTGCTAGTTATATAAGTAAAAACCTAATGATGCAACCAAGTGGCAAAACAAGTATTCTTAATGAATTCAAACGGATAAAAAATAAGTTAGACTGTCAAGATACGAATCCATCTTTGCAAAGCAACAAATGGCCAAGAATAATTTATTTTTCTCTGTTTTATGCAGAATGTAACTTTGATTATGACATCTGTGTCCGGACATTTGCTGGCTCATGATTTCAAGGCACCATTTCGGAAATGGTACGTACCAACAGATCAGATGATTAACTTTCTGCAATTATATAATCAGATTTTGAACAAGGTAAATATCATTACAAGCATAGATGTCTCTAGAACCTAGATAGTATTTCTTTAAATGTTTGCTGTTTACTGCATGCCTTTCTCTGATGCTGTTCCAACAGGCATAGCTGTAACCCCCTGGTCCTTTTCGATGCAGAAATTGAGAAATTCTGCCCTGAAAACTACATGGACATTAAGGTTTGTGCTGCCTGCAGCCTCCTCTTTTAATAAGAGGCAAAGTATCGTTCCTCTTTTTCTGTGGCTGCAATTTCTGACTGAGGAATGCGCCTTATGTCCAGCCACGGTTACGTAACATAAAACACCGTTGGCGCATCTCTTATTTCAGGAGAGTGGCTCTTTCTCCTCCATTGTTTCATGTTGCTCTGTCATCCTATTATTACCAACTCCAGCGCACCCTCGAGCGAGAGGTTCGGCCGTGCCAGGCCCTGGTGATCTGGACCGATTGTGATCGCGAAGGGGAGAACATTGGCTTTGAAATCATTCACGTGTGTAAAGCAGGTGTGTGTGGAGAAAGGGTGAAGGGCTGGGCCTTCAACATGTGCCACATCCTCGTGTGATTCTTCCGGACAGACAGTCTGGCCAGGAAGCCATAGAGTTTTTAATCGGTTGAGTGAGGTTAAGAAAGTCTTCCAAATCACGAGGCGTTTTTCCCTCTGCGGGGCTTTTGTTTTGCTTGCCCTGACTGAGTGTGCCTCGAACCTTTCTTTGGACAGTGAAGCCAAACCTCCAGGTGTTCCGAGCCCGCTTCTCGGAGATCACACCCCGGGCTATCAGGTCCGCTTGCGAGAACCTCACCCAGCCAGATCCAAATGTCAACGATGCTGTGGAGGTGAGGCAAGAGCTGGATCTCAGAATAGGTAAGAGAGAAAGCAGACCGTAGACCCAAACGCCACCTTGAGATACGGGGGAGATCGATGTAACCGAACGTGGATTGTTGCCAGAGCTAACTAAGCGGCTTGACCTTTGTGGATGGGCCTTTCTAAAACCAAGCACTTCGTTTTGATTTACTTTCCGATAGCTGATGGTTAAAGTGACTTTTTATTTTTCCTGGGAGCTGTGATGTCCCCAGCTTTTGGGAAGAGTGGCTGTCCAATAACTCTTCCCCCCTTCCAATAGGGGAGTTGTGGTTTTCCTGTCACGTTGGGCCTTGTTTTTTCTGCTTCCTTGGCCAGGTGCTGCCTTTACCCGGTTCCAGACCCTGAGGCTTCAGAAGATCTTCCCAGAGGTGTTAGCGGAACAGCTCATCAGCTACGGGAGTTGCCAGTTCCCCACCCTGGGCTTCGTGGTGGAAAGGTTCAAAGCCATTCAAGCCTTCGTTCAAGAAACGTTCTACAGAATTAAAGGTGAGCAGGGTTCCGAAGGTGAGGCCCAAGCAGGGAAACACCTGGACCGAGAAGCCTGTCGTGGGAATTGGCTTCTCAGCTCGCAGTCTTGTTCTCTGCGTTATTAGCGTGGGGTCCCCAGTTTTGCATTTCCCACACCCCCTTGGTCTGGTGTGGTAGGGCTTGCGTGTCCTCATGCAGGCTTCAGGCAGTGCGTCCCTTTGTCGGCCATCCTTGGGGCTGCCCTCTGGGCTGAGTGCAGGTGCCCGCCTCGCAATGGATTCCACATCAACACACGCCTGTACTGCTGCCGCCTCGCTTCTCTCGTTTCATCTAGAATGGGGGCGACTTTGGCCTTTGTCGTCAAATTGCATTGTCTGCCTAAAGTGCAGAGGCTGCCTTGGTTCTCCAGCCGTTTCCATTTTAATGTTTTGGACTCCGGCAGCTGAGAAGAAGAATCTCTTTCCCTCCCAGGCGAGCCTCTTTCTGCAGCTGCAAGCGGAACGAGGCCGCAGGTTGCCTTGGGTGAGGCCGAGCCTTGATCTATCTTCTCCCCCGCAGTGACTCACGACCACGAAGAGGGTACCGTGGATTTCAGCTGGAAGAGACACCGTCTCTTCAGCCACACGGCGTGCCTTGTCCTCTACCAGATGTGCATGGAGGTAGGTAAGCCGGCCGGCCTGTCTTCTTCCTTTTGCACTTGGCAAAGAGCTTTGAAGAACCTTGTCTTCCGCACACCTCTGTCTTAGGCGCCTCAGGCCACCGTCGTGGAGGTTGGAAGCAAACCCAAGAGCAAATGGAGACCTCTTCCGCTGGACACCGTGGTACGCTTTGGAAAAAGGCGACCGTTTAAAGTCAGAATAAGAAAAGCTCCCAGCTGAGCTTCTGACCCAAACCCCCTTGGTAGACCCTCTTTCGCAAGCCTTAACCTGGACGTTCAGAGGAGACAGGGAAGTGACTAAATCTGAGCGCTATTTGGCCTTCTCTGGTGGGAAGTCCATCCCTAAACTGATCTTTTAATCGTGGGAATGTCTCATTGAGAGAATCGCATGGTTATTCCTGGGTTGAGAAGTGTCGCCAGAGGCAAGCTGGTGTTCTTGCTTCCAGGAATCCCATTGATTTTACGTGGGCAGAGGGGCATATTTTGCCAGGTAGGGATCAAGCGTATTTTCCCTCCTCTTCGCCTTCTTCTGCCATAGGAACTTGAGAAATTGGCTTCCCGTAAGCTGAAAATAAACGCCAAGGAAACCATGAAGATTGCCGAGAAGCTGTATACCCAAGGGTAGGAAGAGCAGCTATTTTTCTGAGGGTAACTCCCTGCAGGGCGAAGTGGTGGGGGCTAATGGGACGGTGCCCTTTCAGTTCCGTGGGGTTTTTCTTTCGCCAGGAAGATTTATGTTACAATTCCTTCTCTCCCGTCTCTCTAGAGACGCTGCAAGCTAGAAACACAACTAAGCAAAGGGTTGTGTAAAACCAGATGGGATCAGGAGGCTGAAAATGCATCTCCCGAGAGGAGAGATTTAAGGGAGCCCGCGTTGCTCTGAGGAAGGGATTGGCGGGGTGGGGCGTTAGGGCAGCTCTCTTCAAATACCCCACAAGGGGTGGAGGGAGGAACTGCGAGGCCTTGCAACCTCCTAGCTGGAATGGCCTGTAACGGAGTAAATAATTAAGGTTTCCCGTCCTCGCAGAGGGCAGAAAAGGCTATTGTCTTAAGAACAGAAAAAAGATTCCTTTTGAAAAGAGGCCAGAAGAATCGTCTGGCAGTTGAAATGATATGAGAGGCTGTTCATAGCAAATGGGCAGCAGCCTCCAGGGGTCCCCCCCCCCCCCGGATCTTGCGTTGGGCCATTCATCAAAAGCACTTCTTAAAAAGTAACCCCCCCCCCCTTTCCTGGTTTTTAAAGGTACATAAGTTACCCCCGAACAGAGACCAACATTTTCCCCAAAGACTTAAACCTCTCGCAGCTCGTGCAGCTTCAGACCCAAGACCCCCACTGGGGAGCCTTTGCGCAAAGGATCCTGGACCAAGGTGGGCCAACCCCACGGCGGGGGACAAAATCCGATCAGGCTCATCCTCCCATACATCCCACCAAACACGCCGGGAATCTGCAGGTGAGTCCCCGAGACCGACTGGCCAACCTCAGGTGTGCAGCTCTGCTTCCAAAGAGAGAGCGGGTTGTAACCGGTGCGTTTGGATCGGAGAAGTAAACGAGGCGGCGCTTACAAAATGCCCTTTTATCAGAGGGCAAGAATATGTTTCCTTCTGGTTCAAAGTCTTCCCTCTGGGAATATTTATTCCTAGAATCTCCAGGTGGGTTTTTCAGGCCGACTCCAGATCTCATTTGAAAGGGGGAAATGTCTAGGGAGCATGGGCCGAATTCCTTGCCGCTCGTGGAAGAGAAAAGGTTTATCTCGACACCTGTGCAAATCCATTTCTCCTCCTCCCCTTTCCATTGTGCCCTCCAAGGGCAACGACCAGCGCCTGTATGAATTCATCGTCCGCCACTTCCTGGCCTGCTGCTCCGAAGACGCGAAGGGGCAGGAAACCACGGTGGAGATTGAGATTTCCAACGAGCGCTTCGTGGCTCATGGGCTGATGATCCTGGCCAGAAATTACCTGGAAGTTTATCCTTACGAAAGGTGGAGTGACAAGGTGGGAGCGCTCGATAGGTGGAAGCAGGGGGCGAGGGGCAACTCCTGAGGAGAGGTTGTAGTAGCTTAAGAGGGGGAGAAAAACTCCTCCTCCCTCACAGTCCCCGTTTGAGCTACCGATGCGGAGGTAGTCTTCAACGTACCAACCATCAGTCACTCGCAGACCCTTTGAAGTTACAAGAAGACCCACTTTGTGACGGTCACGACTTAGGACCATAAGGGCCAGGCTCCATTCCGGGTGTAGGTCAAAGTCTACTGCATCCTTTCCTCGTTTCTCCCGTCCTTCCTTAGCTCTCCCACGTAACCCCGTTTCCCCCTGCCTTGTCTTCCTCCGCACCCCCAAACTCTGCAGGTTATCCCCCTCTACGAGCAGGGCTCCTGCTTCCAGCCCACCACGGTGGAGATGGTGGAAGGGGAGACCAGCCCACCCCAGCTGCTCACCGAAGCGGACCTCATTTCCCTGATGGAGAAGCACGGCATCGGTCAGTTCTGCCTTGGCTCTGGATCAGGGATGGTCTCTCACTCGTCTTCAGAGTTTATTTGGTGTATTTTTAAAAAACGTATGTACGTTGCCCATCTTGCTGGAGACCTAAGGGTATTCCCATACACCGGTGGCTCCTTCGCCAGAACCTTTTTGGTTCCCTGCCGCAGAGCGTTTCGCTGACACAAGCCTTCCCTGGGAGGCAAGCTCTGGTGGCAGAATTCGATCAGTCTCACAGAGCGGTAAGGGGGAGAGGAAGGGGCCGAGGACTGTAGGCGTCCTGGGCAACAGCAGAGGACCAGGGTATTGAGGCTGGGCTGGATTGGGTCGCTGTTGGCGTCAGGACGGAAGCAACCGAACCCCCTTGGTTTAAGGCGTGAATGTTGCCAGGGGTGGGCAGAGCTCACCTCTAGGGCTTGTAAGTGAGGACTACAATTCCCAGCATGCAGTTGGGGAATCGTTGAGAGCCAAATCTCTGGAAGGCGAAAGGTTGGGCTTAGGGTCAGTTGATGGAAAGTGCTCCCAAACTCGCCAGCTTTGAGACGTGTGGAATTCTGGGGGTGTGGTTCGCCGGCAGACGGTGCAGGCGGCAGAGGTATTGGACAGTGAGGACGAAAGGGAGCCAGTCAGGGAGTCTGGGGAGGACTCGGATGAGGGTCCCGCGTCCGATGCAGAGGTGGGGCCAGGACCATCGGGGAGTGAGGTGCTGCCTCTGGGGCCTCCGGAGTCTGGCAGCAGCGAGGCAGAGGAACAAGGGGAGCCTGTTCCCAGTGCGGCTGTGCGCAGAGCTGCTAGAAGGCGAGAGCAGCTGAAGCAGAAGGGGCGACTCAGGAGTAAGGTTGGGGGGTGATTGCCCCTCCCCTAAGGGATAAAAATCAGGCCAAGGTGACTAACACTTTGCAGGAAGCAAAGCAGTTCAATATTTTGCGAGTCCTTCTTGAAACTCTGCGTATTCTGGGGTTTTTCTTTTTTCTAGTACTGTTCTAATTAATGGGGGATACTTTTTTTGGCAGCATTCCACAGCACTGACAGGCGTGCGCTTATCTGTTTAAGTTAGTTTTGGCTGTGAATGAAAATAATTCCCAGTGTTGCATTAAAATGGGTTTTGCTTTTCAAACAAGTTTGTGTTTAATCACGCCTAATGAAGCCTGGGTCAGAACGTCTGGAGGGGCGGAGTCCTCTCCCCCTCTCAAAAGTTGCTGGGTTGAGAGCAACCTGGCCCACTCATGCCAACGCTTGGCTTCCAGGAACAGACGCCACCCACGCGGAGCACATCGAGACCATCAAGTCCCGCATGTACGTGGGGCTCACCCCGGACCAGCGCTTCCTTCCGGGACACCTGGGCATGGGGCTGGTGGAAGGTAAGGATGGACCCCGTCTAAAAACCCGGCTCCCCCATTGAGCCTCTCCTCCGCCCACTCCTCTTTCTGCCTGTTCTCCCCCCCACCCCCACCCCCAGGCTACGACTCCATGGGCTACGAGATGTCCAAGCCGGATCTCCGAGCCGAACTCGAAAACGACCTGAAGCTGATTTGCGAGGGGAAGAAGGACAAATCCGCCGTGCTCCGAGAGCAGATCCAGAAATACAAGCAAGTCTTCGTGGCCGCTGTGACCAAGGCCAAAAAGTGAGGGCTGAAAGATTCCCACCCCCCTCAAGGAAAATTATGTGTGTGGGGGGGGGTGTTGTAGCCCCTGCCTGGACCAGCTCAGTTGGCAGTGGATGGAGAGGAGAAGAAGGGTGGCCAGGAGGAGCCGCAGATGAATCCCTCCTTTCAACCTTTGCGTCTTATCTACACGGGGAAGTGCCTATTTCAGAAACGGGGGGAAAAAGCAGGCACATCCCAGAACTTTTACCCAGTCAGTGCTGCTAGCTCAGTGCGGGACAGTGTTTAGGTCCTTCCTTGATCAAGATCAATTGTGTAAGCAAAGTACCAGGTAATTATGTGTTTATTTAGCTGTCCAAAAGAAACCAGGTGCGGAACAAAATAAATACACCGTCATGAGAGCTTAAAGCAACAGTTACGGAGAGGCACAACCCAACACCACGTGGAAAGCCACAAGCGGCTTCTGCCTGGACTCTCTCAGAAATCCCTCCGGAAATAATGTGCACAAACGCTTAGGATCCACGTAGCTGATGGCAGTGAGAAATACGCCCGCTTCATTTTTGTTTTTTGTTTTTTTCAGGTTGGATGAGGCCTTGGCTCAGTATTTTGGGGAGATGACCCAGGTGGCGCAGGAGGATGACATTTACCCAGCCATGCCCGATCCGGTTCGGAAATGCCCCCAGTGCAACTCTGACATGATCCTGAAGACCAAGAAGAACGGAGGGTGCGTTGGGATGCTGCAAGAAACACGGTTTCTTAAACATGGTTTAAACAGAAGAGGTTTTCTAGCAAGTTTGCCCACCCAAAAAAAAAGCACTAATTGCAGAAACATTGAGCCAACCAGACCCATTTGGGCGGTTGATCCGTAACTGCGTCTCTTCGGCTGGTTCTGACGTTTCCACTTGTGTTTCTCTAGCTTTTATCTCAGCTGCTTGGGCTACCCTGCTTGTAAGTCCTCAGTCTGGTTTCCCGACTCCGTGCTGGAAGTCAGCAAGGACGAGTCTGTCTGTGGCATCTGCAAGCCGCCTCCGGTGCATCGGTGAGTCTCGCACGGGGGGGGGGGGGGTCCCTTGAGCTTCGCTTCTGCTGCCGTTCGGAATGTCCGGAGCTGCTAAGTTTTGCACGCTTTGGAATTTCAGGGCGCGTTTGCATTCCGGCTGAGGGTTGGCTATGTTCCCCGCCCTCCAATTCAGGAAACCTGTGAGGGGAGATTTATCTGGCTGCCTCAGGCACAAAACCTGCCCTCAGCGCCCCCAGTTGGAGGGAAGCCCCCTTTTCAGAGCCGTGGTGGCGCATGGTTAGAAGGCAGGATTGCAGGGATGACTCTGCCGACTGCCAGCAGTTCGACCTCAAGGTTGACTCAGCCTTCCATCCTTCCGAGGTTGGTAAAATGAGGACCCAGGTTGCTGGGGGTGATACGCTGCTGACTCTGTAAACCGCCTAGAGAGGGCTGTGAAGCGGCATGTAAGTCTAAGTGCGGTTGCTGCTCAGTGCCTGGGAATATGCAGCTGTTTGAGCGGACCAGATTTCTCCTAACCTAAAGCCTTCCCTCCCTTTCCTTTCCCACATCTTAATACCCCTGGGCAGATCTTGGAGTCCGTTGGCAGGGGGCCATTTGGACACAGGGGCCGAGCAGAAGCTTCCGTGCTGTGGGGCTGCAGTGCCAGGGGCCCGGGGCCAATTGCTTCCCTTTCTCTCCCCCTGCAGGCTGAAACTGAAGTTCAAGCGAGGCAGCCTCCCCGCCGTGATGCCCCTGGAGTTTGTGGGTTGCGTTGGTGGCTGCGATGAAAATCTCAGGCAGATCCTAGACCTCAAGTACCTGCAAGGACCAGCCAGGGCTCCCACTCAGCCGAGGAATCCCCCCGGGGAAGCCCCTGGCCCCCTTAACGGCACCATCCGCAGCCGTGGCCAGCGCCTGCTGGCTCCCGTGCCCCCTCCTCCTGTGCCGGCACACGGGGCTCCTCCCGCGCTCGCCAATGCAGCCAGGAATGATGCCGTGATGTGCAACTGTGGCGAGGAGGCAATTCTTCTCACCGTCCGCAAAGAAGGGCCCAACCAAGGCAGGCAGTTCTACAAATGCAACACCGGCAGCTGCCGATTCTTCCTCTGGTCCGACCAGCAGGAGCCCGACTGGAGGCCCAACGGGACATCCGGGTTCCTGGCCCCACCCCAGGGCTCTTCCCTGCCGGGGCAAAGGGGCTCCGCGGGGCCCCGGAGGGCGGGCTCTGATCCCGGAGCCAGCGCTGGCCAAGGAAGCCCCCTCTGCAGGTGCGACCAGCCCGTGACGATCAGGACAGTGCAGAAAGACGGGCCCAACAAGGGGCGGCTGTTCCACACCTGCTCCAAGCCGCGGGAGCAGCAGTGCGGCTTTTTCGAGTGGGCGGATGAGAGCTTGAGGCCAGGTAGGTGAGGAGCGGGCAGGTTTGGTGGGTGGGCAGGGTGGAACGTGCAGCTGGAGGGAGCGGTGGGGGGAACGCTGGCAGCGACACCTCCGTTTTCTGGGAAGGTGGGGCAGCGCATTCCAGAGGGGGACCAAGTTAAGAGGAGAGTCAGATCTCAGCAACCGTAAAACTTGGGCCCTTGAAATCCCAGCTGTGGAATTCTGGCACTTGCGGTCCACAAGCCTTAAAAGCTGCCAGGGTTGGGGCACCTCTGGGTTAGACAGTTACAGCTTTAATCTGGCACGCTTCTATCTGCCGGGTGTCGGCAAACAGAGGTCCACTTGAATGGATCTCACCACTGTTTCATTTCCGGACGTGGACCCGACAGCAAGGTTTGTATGATGATGCTCCTTTAAATAAACTTTCCGTAAGAGCTTCCCTTATAAGCTTGGGACCCTGCCCAGTTCCAAAGGACAGGAATGTCCTGCCAGCAAGACCCTGAAGTAGGAGAGGGGTGAGGGGCTGCAGCTCTCTGCAGAGATGGCTTCCATTTTATCCCACCCAAAGGTGTTGGGAAAACGACGTTTAAACTCCTGGCCACCAGAGGATACCAAAATGGAGAGAATCCATCCTCAGGTGACTTAAATACTCCCCTAACTTTCTCCTCTCCTCCCGCTGCAGCCACCTCCACCTTTCCTCCTTCCATGGGCGAGTGGGCCCAACGGGGCCCTGGGGCCAAAGCGAAAAGATCAGACAGCGACTCTTCTTTGATGGCGCCTACGAAGAAACCACGGACGTGCAGCGTTTGCCACCAGCCTGGCCACACCAAGACCACGTGTCCCCAGAATCGCTGAAGCAGCGTGGGCCACGGACGAGACTCGAGGGCCTTCTGGAAGGCTGGGCTTCCTCCTTGCAGGCTTCAGTTCTCCACCTTGAGTTTGAAAATATAGGTGGGACCGTGGAGGCAGGTGTTTCTCAACCGTGGCCGCTTGAAGGTGGGTGGACTTCAACTCCCAGAATTCTGGGCACGGAAGCCCCCCCTCCCGTCTTCAAATGGCCACGGTTGAGAAACCCAACTTTAGACTGTAACACTATGCTGATGTTTTGATTTTTAAAAGCTTTTCTTCTCTTTGGGAATTTAAACGAGGAAGGGTCGTTTCTCAAAGACCTGGAACTCACTGTAGGACTGATGCTTTCTTAGGGAACCTGCTTCCAAAGCTGAACAAACTTTTCCTCTATACAAATCCTATTCCACCCTCCCTGTTACTGGAATAATCATAATTTATTCAAAAGGAAAATATATGTGTACAAAACCCAGAGAGTTTAGTATTTCTAAAATTCCTCTCCTGCTCAATGCTATGTTCTGAATGCTAAGGGCAGCTCCTGCCTGCTCTCAACGGATGTGGATAATATTTTTTTAAATTAAAATATATATTTGGCTTAAGCTACGACGTGTTGGGTGTGCCGGTATTCCAACCCCCCTACATAAGCAGTACTGAAAACATCACAAGTTAACATCAGAAGTTGGTTCCTGGGTGCTCAGAAGAAACCTGAGCTTGTTTGCTTGCTTGCTTTATTGATTGATTTATTCGTAAAAATCAGAAGAACTCTCTCCGGGGCAGCTGCCAAGCAGAGGGGCCTCCGCAGCCCTCACTCCGAGCCCTGGAGAGAGCGCATTACGTTCAGAGGTGCACATCCACAAGATTTCGGAACTCAAGCAATGGGGAAATCCGAGAGGAGGGAAGGGGAATCGGCTACCCTCTGCCCCCTCAGCCCTCCAGTCCTGCCCCAGGGAGAAAGAAAAGACTCCCCGGAGAACATCCGCTCCGAAGGGCAAAAGAATCCGGCAAGAGAGCGAGTACAAAGGGCTTGTAATCAAGGGCCATTTTACTTCAAGAGCTAATACTTTCATTCGGGGCAAAAGAATTGCAATTGGGGGGGGGGGGAGAAGGAGGGGGTGTGAAGAGACCCCTTTCAAGTCGTCTCCACCCGAAAGGAAGCCAGGGCTCTCTCCACTTTACAAACCCAGCCCATCCGCGAGGTCGGGCGCAGCTAACGCCTCGTACAAGGTGCAGCCGATCTCGTCAATCTCCTCCGGGAGCAAGTGGCTCAAGAGGTCAATCCTGTCATCGAAGAAGCAAGGGAGGGAACCTTTGGCCAGGTACTGGACCAGCTCCTCCAAGACCTGCTGGAGCCTCACGGCCAGCATGGCCTCGGGCCAGTCCGGCTCTGTGAGGCTCAGGTGGAGGATAACGTGAGTCAAGTCGCTGCCGGTGATTTTGCTCCAAAAAGGGTGTTTTTCAAACGTGGCCTTCAAGATGAGGAGGCAACACTGCCGGATGCCGCCGTCTCGGGCATCCAGCTCTTTCAGCTTGGAAACCTCCGCCGCGTAAAAACTCTGCTGCCAGAGGTTCTCCACAGGTTCCCCCGAAAAGGTGGCGAGGAAAACCTTGCCCTCCATTTCCACTCTCGGGCAGAGGGTGATGTCCAGGAGGACCTGCTCGTGCCGGACTTCCAACTTCAGCTCCCTGGGAGCCATGGAAGGCCGGATGATGCATTCCAGCAGGCTGCCGATGACCGGCCAGTTGACGGAGGCCACCAAGGTCTTCAGGAGGGCGTCGTTGATCGAGTTGGACGATAAGTACCCGCCGACAATGAACTTGTCCCAGGGGCTACTCCCCCGTGTGAAATACTCCAGGCCCCGCCGTTTGATCATCCCATACCACGAGTTATCCATGAGCGTCTCTTCCCCACGGATGAAGTGCCAAAGGTGGTCTTCTAGGACCAAGGGAAGGTGGAAGACCACCTCCAGCTGGCGTTGGCCAACGAGGTCGTCGCAAAGGTAGCCGCTCAGGGAAATGTTCTCAAAGGGCAGGTCCAAAGATTTGTTTTTCAGGAAGGTCTGCAGCTCCACCCGGATTTCTTCGGCCAGCTGCTTCCCAGCAGCCTTTTCCGTCTCAGAGACGTAGATGTGATCCCTGTAGAATGAGAGGAGCTTCTCCTGAAGGGTGAGGCAGAGCAGGGACTTGGACTGCCCCAAGGAGACCCCGGAGGGCAGGGCAAGATCTTTCGTGTCTGCAAGGAAGGTACAGAGAAAAGGGGGTCAGTTACAGGAAACCCATGGCCGGCTCACTGACCGAAAAGGTCTTCTAGTTCAGGGCTCTCCAACCGCGGCCACTTTAAGACTTGTGGACTTCAACTCCCAGAATTCAAAGCAAAGCTGGCTGAGGAACTCTGGGTGTTGAAGTCCAGAAGTCCTAAAGTGGCCAAGGATGGGGACCCCTGGTCTAGTCAGTCTGAGAGGAGTTCAGAGATGGAACCAAGGACCCGAAAAGCTGGTGGTTCTCCTTCCTTAGTTGTGTTCAGGCCAAAGCCGGACAATCACTAACCGGGGATGCTTTAATTTGGATTTTGGCACTTCTTAGGGACTTGGGGTGGATGGGTTGGAACCAGGGGGCCCATCCAACTCTGGGGTTAGATATCTGGGGTTTAAGTGTGCAAGGCCACCCTGGGAGGAACACCCACCCTCCTCCACCACCACAGGAGCATTGGGTCAGGTCTCCTCAGGGAGTGGCCCCATCCTGGAAAGACCAGCCCCCTCCCCCACGCCCAGCCTCACCCTGCGCAGGGGCAGCCGTGACGGGGGACAGCAGGGGCTCCTCGACCTCTTGCCGTTGTGCTTTGGACGCCCCCTTGATCAGGCTTAGCTCTTGCCAGCTCTCCTCCAGGGACTTCTGCTTGGCTTTCATGTCGTCCTCGTCATCGCCTGGTGGGCTGGTGGCTCTGTCAATGAACTGGAGGAGAGACCCCGCCCCAATTAGCAGGAGCCACTCTTCTCCGGAGGCAGCCCCACCCTTCGCTGAAGGGGCAATTGTTGCCTGCAGCCAGACGGCTGGAGGTTTCCTTGGGGAAACATCTGGGCACATCTGGACCTCTATGAGGCTAGTTCCAGGCTGCTCTGCAACCAGGCGCCCTCACCCCAACACACACACACACACACACACACCCCAATGTCAAAATAAGCTTTGAATGGCAAACTTCTTGAGAAGGGATGGATGCAGCCACAAATGTTGGCTAGCTGCCCATTTCATGTGTAAACAGATTGGCTTAACCGGGTTATTCACTTCACAACTGTGGCAAGGAAGGTGGTATAATGGAGGCGAAACCTCGCTGGACAAATGTCTCGCTTAGTAACAAAAATTTGGGGCTCCGCTGTGGCCGTTAAGTCCAGGACTGCCTATACTTTTTCCTACTTTTTACGGTTCTAGACAGGCCAGAACTGGGACATTTCAAGGACTGGAAAGGCCATAACCTGCGTCACGAAATTAAAAAGCAACGTAGGCGGCACTTCTGCTCGGTTAATCCCTCCGCTTTCAAGATACGAGGCTCTGGCCTGTTTGGCTGGCAGCTTGAACGAAGGGTTTACTCACCCCCCGTCTCCCAACAAAATGCACCCACAACAGCTGCATGTGAGCCCACCCTCGCACACACACCACACACATTTAATGCTCCACTGAGCCACAACAGAAGGAGAAGCACTAAAAGAAAAAATTGTGTTTGTGGCTCTTTTGCAAATTACAAATCCGCAAGTAATCCTCTGTGAGTTTCATCAGCCAAAAAGAGGCCAGCGGAAATATTTAGGACAAAAATAGGCTTTGCCCAACCCGTCCCGAGCGGAGCTGGAAGGACGGTGCTTCTGCAGGCCTGGCAGTTGAGCAAAGAGGACCCCCACATTCAATGTCCACTAACAAAAGGCAGCCAGCAACGAGCCGGGCCTGCTCCCTAAAGGCACATTCGTCATCACACAAAAGACACGGGTCGCCCGTGGCAGAGAAGGGCCGGTGGGTCTCACCCTCTTGACCGCCAGTGTTGCCAGGGCCAACACAGCTGCACCGCTGACCCCCAGCACCACCCGGGCGTTGGCCAGCACCAGGTCCACCAGGCTGCCCAGGCTGCTCTCGTCCTGCCTCTTGCCCTGCTTGCCAGCAAAGGTTGCCATCGTCCGTCTCCAGAAGCCGGTGCCAACTTGGCTAGTGCCACGGGAAAGTCTTTATGGGCGCAACCAAGAGAAGGCAGGAAGAGTCAACGAGGACCAGGGCATTCTTGGAAGCTTTCAGGCCTGGAAGAGGCAGAGAAGAGAATTAGCCACCAAATTATCTACCTGGCTCTCTCGGTGCTTCTCAACCTTGGCAGCTCTTAAGATGGATGGACTTCAACTCCCAGAATTCCCCGGGCTGCCTGTACCCACCCAGGGAAAAGAGTCAGTCAAGAGTCCAGCAGCCAATCTCGGTGGGGCCAGAGCAGTGCCTTCCTCCCCCGCCACAATCCAGCTGGCATTTATGAGTCAGAACACTCCGCAAGGCGTCACCATGGGGACCCAGAACCATGCAAAATCCAGCCCGGATCCTGCCAGCCCCAGAAAGCCGCCAGCTTTCGGTCCCGGTGGCTTCCCCTGCCCAGATCCAGAATAAAAGTGCTTTGCTGCAGATGCCGCCCCCGAAGCCAGAGGCCCCCAGAAATGTCCTTCACTGGAGCTCAGTGGATTCTCCCACCCGTCCCCAGACCTCCAAAGACAGACAGCTGAATCCCTCGACTCCGGAGCAGGCGGGGTCAGGTTTCTGGCTGCTATTTTGGGAGCAGGGTAACAATATTTCCGGTGCTCTGGCAGCCTCCCCATTGCCAGCCAGTGCCCCAGGCTGAAATCAAGGCAGGGATGGGCCAGACGCCACAATGGGCCGACAAGCAGAGGGCTCCTAAGCATGTGCAGAATGCACTGCCCAGTCACTCGGAGGACCTTGTCCAGCTGAATGCAGCCAACAAACTCAGCTCATTTTGTGCCTGTGCTGCTTTCAGCGGCCAATTTCTTAGGAGGGAGCCTAACCTAGCCCCCTGACCCATTTCTTCCGGGATCGAAGGAATCCTTACTTGGACCACACCTGCAATTTTAGGGCGGCCGTTCTCCCAGGTTCCACACGCCTGCCATTTCACCTTTCCCCCTTTATTATTAATTCTGTTTATGGCCTGGCTTGGATACGCTTGAAAAGGATTTTTGGGGGGAGAGGGGAGAACTGGAAAATGACCTTTTCTAGGCTAAATCCTAGAAGCTGGGTGAGGCCAGTGGCCCGGGGTGGGTCTGACCCCTCTCCATACCTCAATACGCACCATCAAATAATGCACCAGCCAGCAAAGCGACCGAGTCTGCAGGGGCTGTTTCTCTCAAGGTTTAATCCCCCACCCCGGCCTTTCCAGCACACCAAACTGGTCCCCCCACCTCTCTGACAGTCCGAGAGCTTTGAGCCCACTGGGCTGTTGCAAAATTACGGCTTGTCAAGAAAGCAGAAAACAAAACCTCAGATTTTGCAAGGTCACCCAGGAAACTAGATGTGTGGTACAAAATGGGTGGGTGGGATGATGATACCAGGGATCCTAAACTGGAATCCAAAATAAATGGGGGCTACCTAGCATGGAATTTAGTTATATTGCTTGCGCCGGGAGGCAGACTTACCCCCCCCTTCCCTTTTTTGTCAAAAGCCACAATAGGAGGTGTCATGCTAGAGACCTTAGCAGAGGCGGCCAGGCTGCAGATTCCAGTCCCCTCAGGCCTTTGTGGCTACTAGAAAAATGTGTTTATTTAGAAAATGCTCATGGCTGCCAGGGCAAAATAATTCTGGATGGCTAAAAACCAAAAACCAAGGAAAACACAGCACAACATAACACCCCCCCCCCCCCCCCGCAAACTGAACAAAAGGTGAAAAATAATCATACAATCATCAAGACATTGTATAACTGACCCATAACAGAAAAGCACCTCAGTTGGGCTCCACTAAACATCCTGGCCCTGATACCTGGGTGAGAGCCAGGCCTTGGGACCTATAGTTTTTTTTGGGGGGGGGGGTTGCGGGGTGTGTGTGTGTCATATAGAGCAAGTGCCAAGAGAGGGAAGGACGGTTTGCAGAGGAAACAAGGATGGCCAGTCTTCATTAAGAAGAGACCCCCCCAGCACAAAGACCCTGGTGCCTAAACCCCTCCTCTCCACCAAAGGGCCTTTGCCCATGTTGCAGGGGTCTCCTCACAGGCCAGGCCCCCCTGTAGCCCGAAGGCTCCTGGGAGGAGGAGGAGGACTTTGACCCAGGGGACAGATTGGCCACCATGCAAAGGTGCGCAGCTCCCCAACTCTGCGGCTTAAACAAATAGAGGCAGACTTTGCCATGAAAAATCGGGCAGATTTTCAGCCCCTTCCTCATTTCAACAAGGCGGCGGCTTTTGCACCCAGCCGGGAAGACCCCCGCCTTTCTAAGGCCCCCTTTCCCTTCCAAGCCCCCTGCCCTTCCATGACAGCCTCCTCCCCTTCCAAGAGCCTTTCCCAAGACCCCCTGCCAGACCACCCTCCCCTTCCAAGACCCCCTCCCCTTCCAAGAGCCTTTCCCAAGACCCCCTCCCCTTCCAAGACCCCCTCCCCAAAACCCCTCCCCTTCCAAGACCCCCTCCCCTTCCAAGAGCCTTTCCCAAGACCGCCTCCCTTTCCAAGACCCCCTCCCAAAAACCCCTCCCCTTCCAAGA